TGGCTGAGTGAGAGCAGATAATTTCCAAAGTTGCTTCAGATTGATGACGACGTAACTTGCCTTCCCGACTCTGGCTGTCCAGCTTTGACATCTGGTTGAAACCGTGCCTCCTGGCTTGATAAGTGAAGGAAGTAACCTCTTTCAAATCTTTCCCGTTGATAGTAATTGGTGCTCATTTTTTATTTCTGTTGGTTGGTTGTCTTCATTGCCCCTGTCTTCTCTATGTTCACTTGAAATCTTCACTTCACTAACGGTTTCTTCTGACAGTTCGTCAGTTTTCGTATGACACTATATACAAATCATCTACGAAATACAGATAATTTCTGGACAAGATTTAAACCAAAGTTTGTACATTCTACATTATTTTCTGATAGTGAGTACCACAGTTGTTTGCTATGTGAACATTCGACTTAAAGCGCACACCACCTCCTTTTAAACAACCGAAAAAATTCTCAATAGCCAATGAGACCAATGAAATCTTTATAAAATGAGTTTGTATAAACAAAGAGCATCTGTCGCGAAAAATAAATCATTCCAATGGAAGCTGTCACCTGTCGATTATTCATTTCTTCTTCTAGTAGTAGCAACACATCAACACAGTTCAGCTGAAACATATAAACGCTTACAACTAACAAACATGTATGACGTGCCGTGATCAGACGAGGCCAACATTCTAACTAAACAATTCACAATTTTCCATACTCTCTACAAAATATTACTTCCGCTGAAATATTTTACAGTTGATATCTTAACAGCAGTCAAACCTCTCGTTGCTACAATAAGTTCACTTGACAATATGCTGTTCACAAGCAATTGCATATTCATTTTAGTTAAACTCTATCTTTTTTGACGTCGGTGGCACAGCGGTAGAATGCTTTCTAACTACGCAGGTGGTTCAGAGTTAAATCCCTGACCGACGCACTCCTTTATCTTACTAAGCCAGTAATAAGACTGGTAAAGAGGGAACGTCGAGAATGAGGCTAGCGACCCCATTTCGTAAAAATAAACGCGACTACTACTGAAACTTCAGGCCTGCAGCTTGAAGCCCTATGTTCCACTGGGAACGTAAAGGAACAAAAAACTCGATTTTTATGGGTTTTTTTGGTTTGTTAATGCTATCCCATTTTCAGTTAGTATTGATTTAAAATAGAATGAAGATGTTAGCACTGAGACAAATGAGTCTTCAGTCCTAACTAGTAACATAATATCAGTTTGTAGTATTAGAGTTCTGCACTGTCAATTCACCTGATTTGTCCTTACTATTTGAATGCCATATGAATCGACAGGCCTCACTGATCCGTAAGTGGGATGCTTCACCATGAATAGTGACGTATCATTCATTTATATGATATCTGAGTGAGATCTGGAACGACTGCTTTCAAACTCTAGTGTGGCCAGTAAATATAATTCCTAGAAGAGTTTTTAAACTACCAAGAACATCCTTTTCTGCAATCATACAGGGTAAAGCTACCATTGTTGGATTCATCAATGTGCATCTACCTTTCCACTTGCTCGTGTGTAGCCAGGTATGTTGACCATGCCCAACTTTTGCTATCCTAAAACATCATCGAACACTTACCCTTAGTCATGGTTTTCTAAAGAAGAAAAAAGTCCCCTCGAAGGTATATTCTGGAACACCTAATCGAATCGGTACACCAAGCAACCGCAAAAATTAACTTCAAAGTCATCTGCAAAATCCGTGGGTATTTTGCAGATTGAACTTCTTCAAACCGCAGAATCAATGGCAGTTCATGTATTAAAACGTGAACTCTGTATACAAAAGAAGTTTCTTCAGTCATTAAATCTACGGTGAACCTGACATATTATACCATCAAATACGTATTATTTTTTTGTCTTTTTTTGCTAGTTTGTTTCTTAATTGTACAATATTTTATTCCGCTACCATTTATTTAATCTCTACTCCTTGATATCACCGTTGTAAACTTGACTTTCATTTACTTTTAATGCTAGCTGAGCTCTACTCAACCCTGTCAATTAGATTGCTACACTCGACTTGCTTATTTAAATTTATTTTAGTCACGGAATATATACATTGGATCAGAGGAATTGTAAAACGCGCTCGTGAACACTGTCAAACCTGGCTAGTAAAGGGAGATCGAAAACGTAAATATAGTCCAAAAAAAGAATATCTGGACAATTCTGGACATTTAGCGCTATTCAAAAAATCCTTCAAAATAATACACAAGATTCAATGAAACCTATCAAAGGGAGTTAAATCAAGACATCTGGACATAGCCAATGCGCTAGCTCTCCAAAAGCTCAAACAAACGTTTAGCATCCAAAAGAAATACGCCAATCCCTTGTCCCTGCCATGCCTTTCATATATGGGTAATTCTTTTAGTACTGGCCATCCATCCCATTGCCTTTCTTATGCTAGTAGTAGAGCATTAAGAATATTAAGAACATAGAAGGATTCGTGAAATGCTGATATATACGCTATCGTTTCACCTTGAGATCAGTATTCTTTGTGCGCGAATTCACCAGAATAATATATACTGGTTGGCACATTTGTGTATATGTGAGACATTGTTTACATTTTAATCCTGCTGAAATGCAAATGTTCATAATATCATCACATTAGACGATTGTCAGTTCATATATACAGTTCTGTCTGTATTGATGAATCGATTGTCAATTTCATCAATGATGATCAATTTCTCTCAGCAAAAGGCCTACACAAACAAGGACACAGCAAATCTTTACATTCTTGTGAATGTAGGTGAAACCAGATGAGAGTGCTCCATGTTGATGATCATGACAGACATTTAGAGTTTTGAAAACATTTATTTCCCGATACGAATTTAAAACAAGCAATAAAGGTTAACAAAGCATGATTTAATGAATTCATCAAATTTCGGTAGAACTCGTCAGCTGAATACTCTGCATACACGAATATATATATATATATATATATATATATATATATATATACATTTGAAATTAAATAGGGACATATAAGATTATCTCGAAAAAATGAATCAAATTCTCTCTGATGAATCTAAATTCAAATTGGATAACCATGCACAAGACCAAACGTTATCAACTGAAAGGAAAATTGTGCAGCATCTACGACAAATCTTCAAAAATAAATACATTGACGAAAACACATATAGAAATATCAAACCGATTGGGTCACAAATCCCAAAACTATATGGACGCGTAAAAATACACAAACTGGGAGCGCCGTTAAGACCCATACTCTCTATGATAAACTCACCATACCACAGATTAGCACAGTGGCTATGTGAACTGTTGCAGCCATTGCTGAAACGTTTCGGAACCCATATAGTCTCTGATTCATTTCAATTTGTCAATCAAATTAAAGATTTCAATGTATCCGATAAGCATTTGGTCTCTTTCGATGTTACCTCCCTTTTCACAAATGTGCCAGTCGTTGAAACTATTGACTTCATATGTAAAGAAGCTGAAGACATACCCATTCCAACATCGGAATTGAGGAAATTACTACTTTTATGTACTAAAAATGTCCAATTCCAATTCAACGGACGTCTGTTCCGTCAAGTTGATGGTGTCGCAATGGGAAGCCCTTTGGGACCACTTTTCGCAGACTTGTTCTTGTCACGCCTAGAAACCAGTACTTTGCAGCAACATATACAAGAAACAAATGCATACCTAAGATATGTGCGTCGGTAGCACAGTGGTTAGGACTGCCGCCGACCATACACATGGTCCGAGGTTCGAGCACCTGCCGACGCACACCTGATATCTATGGTCGGCCTGGAAAATTTGGGCTACCGATATCCATGCTGAAAATTCCATACTTGTACCAAAAATACAGTGTGGAATCAAGCTGTAATCGAAAATTAAATTAAAAATTAAATATGTTGATGACGTTTTTATTGTCTGCGAAAGCAGATCAAAAGCGGAAGACATGTTGATAAAATTCAATTCATGCCATCCAAATCTCAGTTTCACAGTGGAACACGAGGAAAACGATACTATTAAATTTATAGATGTTCTTCTAGCCAAAATGAATGATGGCACAATCGAAAGATCTATATTTAGAAAGTCTTCATGGACATGACAGTACATGCATTTCAAGAGCTTTGTTCCAGTTCAGTACAAAAAGAACTTAGTCAGAAAACTGTTCAATAGAGCACGAAAAAATTTGTTCTGACAGTACTATTGAACATGAAATAAAATCTCTGAAGGATATTTTATCTAAGAATGCATATCCTGAGAAGTTCATTAATAAATACTCTAAAGAAACTACCTCTTGCAAAACAATTCAAACAGTTCCAAAGAAACCTGTCTATATCAATTCGCCATTCAAAAGAGATGACGTACAGGAAGTAGTGAAACGAAGACTCGACACATATTTATTTATTCTTTGTTGACAGCGTCAGTGTCTCATTCAACGATTGGTTGGTTTACACATTTATTAATCTTTCCTTCACGTTCCCAGTGGAACATAGGGCTTCAAGCTAGTGACTTAAAGTTTCTGTAACAGTGTTTATTTTACAGGATTGGGTTGCTAGCCAGCCTCATGCCCAACCTTTCCTTTTTACCATCATTATTTCTGGTAAGGTAAAGGAGTGCCTCGTCGGCCGAGGATCGAACTTCGGACCATGTGCATGGTTGGCGAGCGTCCTAACCGCTATGCCACCGACGCTTCACATTTAGCTGCCAAAAATAACATGAAAGATGATGCGTCCCCTGAAATTCCATTGTTTGTTATCCACAGTTTCATTCTCGTTACAATTGATTTTTTTCGAATGTAATTTGTAAAGACTTGACAAGGTTTACATTTTGGTACAAGTCGTTTCTAAATGATTAGCTCCAATCATCAGTCACATGAGACAAAAGTAGGCGTTTCATTTAGTAAGGTTGAAAATTAACTATATGACTTTTACGCAATAAAACTCACTCGTTTTTTCATGTTATTGTCGTGTCTGTTGTCAGTCAACAAGACAAGAGTATATAAATAGGTGTTTGTCTAGTATTTTCTAGACATGTATATGCGTGTTCTCACTTTTGGGTTTTTCTTGTCGATTTTGTATTTTCAGATCTATTGTAAGTACTGTTCTTATTTCATAAATGTGCACTGCGAAAACGTGTTTTGTGAATTTTCATTTTTATTCGATCAAAATATATTTTATATGAAGTCTTTGATTCATCCATGAAGGATCATTGATGATTACGCTCTCTGACATACATGTACATCAAATGATACCAGCGGGTGCAATCTCTGATTTCCGAGATTCGAGAATAGGATTAGGAAAAAGGCGTGAACAGCGATGAAAAGTTTCTTTTCGACAATTCATTTTCATGACTTGTTCAGTAAACGTAATTATATCTAACAAGTAAATTACAAAACCAATCAAATACCCGTAAACTTTGTCCTCGAGTGAAAACGTATTATATAAGGTAAAGTGTAAGAGGGGATGACTAACTGTAAGTGAGAAAAGAAGCAGAAGTTGACATGACGTAATAGGTGTGAGATAATGACTAATCACTATAATTGTTTAGAACTGAGAGGAACTAGTGGGAAGGCGATAAAGTGTTTTTATATAAAATCTGTATGGAAAAGTAATGTTATCAATGAACAGTAACAGAGTTGTAATAAAAGAACATCCTCAATCATTTGATAAGTCAACTACACTTATGCAGGAGATACGTAGATGATTAGTTCGTAATTTGTGATGACAAATCTGATTTAGATTATCTCCTTAAAACCTTCAAAGCAGCGAACCCATTAAAAAAAAGTTCACCTTAGAATGTAAATCAAATATGGCATCTCCATTCCTCAATTTTCTACTTACCAGAAGACAAGACTGTTCGTCCTCAAGATCGATATATCGCAAGCTAACATAGACGGGATAGTTTATCAGCTTCCAGATCTTCGTCTCACTGATAAGAAAGCGAAACCTGGTAGGCCCATTAAGTTCAAGGATTAGAAAAAATTACTCGGAAGACATGGAAGAGAAAGAATTAAAACTGCCTCTCTAAATATCTGAAGAAGACATTGCCGACAGCTACAATGCGCATCACAATCTCTATCAGACAGTTAATCCAGTCTAACGTTAAGCGTAATATGTCGCTTTTGATCACTTCATTGTGTATTTATCAATTTACTTGCTCATGTGGAAGAAAGTATATCAGCTGTACGCAACATCAAGTCCACAAACGTATTCTCGAACAGTGTCCAGCTTGGTTAGCTAGAGGGGAAAACTAGAATAGCTGCAGCAATATCCTCGAAAACCTTGTCAACTCTGGACATAGAACACTCCCACTCACATGAATGCTTCACAGTGCTACGCAAAGTCCCTCAATATCGTACAGGTGGATTTCACATACGTCATCTGTACATAGCTGAAGCATCAGTTATTCGGGATCGGAAACCGGGACCTCTGAATTCAAAAGCGATACGTACATTTACTCGCCTTACCGTGGACAGAGTAAATTTCTTACTATAATTTGGCTTCTGTTTATTATGTAAGTTCACTATTATTATTGTTATTATCATTATTATTCCCATTATCCATGTTTTATTACCATTATATTGCTGTTCAATAATAACATTGCTTTTTCATACGGATTTTATATAAAAACACTTAATTGCCTTCCTACTAGATCCTGTCTATTCTAAACAATTATAGTGATTACTCATTGTCGCACGTTAAATACGTCATGCCAACTTCTGCGTCGTTTCTAACTTACAGTTAGTCATCTCCTCTTACACTTCACATTAACTAATACGTAGTCTTACGAGGACAAAGTTTATCTAATTACTGTACAGCTTTCGTTTTTAAATATAATTATATATAATTTATATATAATTTATTTCGTTGGTTCTCATCAGCTCCGTACAGTCCGAATTTTTATTCAAATAAAAATGAAAAGTGTATAATTTTAACAAACCTTTGTCTATTAGCAAGCATATTGTCAAAGCGTCACAGTAAAATACGGCGTTGCGATTTACGGGTTGTCTAAAATGGTATGACATATATATACGTATCTTTGAAGAGATTCTGCGAACATGTACCAAGAAGCCTCTGGTTAAAAGGACCGAATTTTCTAAGCTCTTCATTCGCCAAACACCTGATTGACATGGGACACCGAGTAGATGTGACGGAACCATTCAAAATAAATAACATACAAAGTACCCCAAGTCTTCTTATGTTTGCTGAAGCCATAGCAGACAGAAGACAAGTAGTTCAGCGAAGAGTCTCTTTTCGGCGAATTCATTTTCATAGCTGTACAATCGCAAATATATATGGTTATTTTGTGTGTGTGTGTGTATACATTAAATTTGTCAAACGAAAATACAATTAGTGAGTTCAGATGAATTGGATGGTAACAACTCCGTTGATTTGACCTAACTTTTCTTTTTTGTTTGATTTGACGTTACTTCTGTTTGTATGCTTATTTTTCTAACTTAAAACCCTTGTGTAATTCTGTATATTATTTTGTTTCCATGTACACCCTTTGAGCACAACTCATTCATCAAACTATTCATGCTATTACGTAACTCTTATTTAACAATCATTTATGACAACTCATCACTTTGGTTACTATCCTCTTACCAACATCCAATTCATCTGAACTCACTAATTGTATTTTCGTTTGACAAATTTAATGTATACACACACACACACACAAAAAAAACCATATATATTTGCGATTGTACAGCTATGAAAATGAATTCGCCGAAAAGAGACTCTTCGCTGAACTACTTGTCTTCTGTCTACTTATGTTCGAATGGGAATTACTCACGAATTAAGAAGCCATAGGAATAAAACGATTGAAGTCTGACTGATGTATCCAAAAAGAATCCGTTGTTGGACTTCGATTACCCAGGTGACTCATTTCTTAGTACCTCTTTGTTTTCTGATTTCGTCAATTTTGTTAACTAATCTTTTTACTCCACTCCCTTCACTTTCTGCTTGACTATCTTACGAGGTAATTTTTGTCGATCTTCTGAGTTCTGCTCATTGTATTACATTATCGACTTCTCATCTGACCTCATGTGCATCGAAATTTTAAAATTTTGATCTCTCCTCATCTAGTTACGTAACTAATAATAAATGTCTTTCGTAACCACCCGAACAATACAACTGTTAGTTAATTCTTTTCAAGAAACGTCTCTCTAACATGATATATATATGTCGTAACACTTTAGACACCCTGTAAATCGCAACGCCTTATTTTAATATGACGCTCTGACAATATGCTTGCTATTGGACAAAGGTTTGTTAAAATTCTACACTTTTCATTTTTATTTTAATAAAAATTCAGGTTGTACGCAGCTGATGAGAAGGAACGAAATAAAATGGATCCAGGTTATTCTGTACCAATGTTTCTTCTTTGTTTGTTCAAATTTATAAAAGAGAATCATTGTATGAAATATAATTAAGACTATTGCGCAGATCATGAAAATGAATCGTAGAAAAGAAATTTCTTTCGCTGTTTACGCCTTTTTCTTATGAGTAGGATTTGTCAAATATTGGTTTTTTAGGGATTTATTATGCATGCGATGAATGATTTCACCATGAACTGATATCATTTAGAGAACCATTGAAAAACCTGGGGGTACTGGACAGCCATCTGTCTCATCCTAGTTTGGGACTCTTCATCAGTACGCAACCATCATAATTCACCTGAATCCATCAGACTCAGTTAAATACGAAAGTAAATAAATAGAATAGAATTTATTTAAAGTATTATTATTATTATTTTTACATTCCTCTGCGTTTTGAGTGAAGAGTAGGACTTCAAGCTCTGAATTGAGAGCCTTAGGAATATAAATCACCACAGAATGCAAACGTCCAATTGATTTGAAAGCATATTATTCATTGGTGTACAAAACACGTTGTTATTACAAAGCCAGTATGAATGTTATGCATGCACTTATGTACAGATTTCATCTTGAATTCATTATTTAAGTGCCTGTGCTGATAGCACATCAGGGTAATGGTTGTGGTTAGAGTAAGCATTAGGACTTAGGGGAGTAATAGGGTTAGGGTTAAGAAAAGCAAGTGAATAAATGGGAGGAGATTGTTTAATTGTTCATACAGATGAAACCATTTTGATAGCTATTGAACTTAACCCGATGTCCTTCATAGCACCGCTTTTAATATCTAATATCTTTTATGTGTTTCATTATTATTATGTTGATTTTCTACATGAATAAACGACGTTAGGATGTAAAGAACATGGCAGTTTCTGTCACTCATCGAATGGTATGCGTTAATGGTCACTGGGGGGTTCTCACTCTGTGAACCCTATTCTGTGAACTGTAAAGTTCCAGTTTTTCTAGGTGGTGGCACAGTGGTTAGGACTCTCGCCGACTATGCACATGGTCTGGGGTTCGATCCCCTGCCGACGCACACCTGATATCTATGGTCGGCCTGCGAAATTTGGGCTACCGATTTCCATGCTGAAAACTCCATACTTGTACCAAAAATACAGTGTGGAATCAAGCTGTAATCGAAAATAAAAAAATAAAAATAAATAAAATAAACTCACACATAAACGTTCACAGTTTTCAGGCCAGCTATCACCCAGTTGAACTGTGTAAAGTTTTGAAGCCTACAATGAAACCCATACCACATGTGTGATTGGCAAGCTATCCACTATTGGACCACTGACAGGCTATTTGTATTATAGGTTGAGTTGTCTCTCAGCTGTTTGATTATTTAATTCTATCCAGGTAGCAAGTTTCTGAAATATGATATGCTCTTTTGCATTTTAGGTGTCCAATGTAAAATCAGTAAGATAGAGAATGTTTTTAATAATAATAATCTGCTTTACACCAAAAACAGCACTGCTTATAACACAGAATGGAATTCTCAGCATTTGTCACAATATTGCATTCGATTTACTCAAAATATAAATAAAATTAACCAGAGGAATTTGTCCACATTCACGAAATTTAAGTCAAGGTATTCGAAGCACGAAATGAGAATATTAAATGTAATAATTATAGTAACAACAACAGTGGGTTTGTTCCAAACAATACTGTAGATTGAGTTTGAAAAGTTTAGCATGTTATAGATTATTGAATTTGATGTTCTGTTGAAATAGTTTGGTGAGGGGAAATAAAAAATTAACAGTTATAACACAGCTTAAATGATGTTCACGATTGTAAAAAAATTAAACAAAAACAAAAAAATTATTGGGAGGATTATAAATATAAGAAGTACAATAACAATAAAGTTTGATGGTGCAAGTGTCCAGGAAATGGTTTATTTAGTAGTGCAAACAAGGTTAGTCAGTTCATGCCTAACACTATTTTCATCGCATAAAATATGTTCCGCCAAATTTAGTATAGTGGAAGTTTTATACTTAGACGTACATGCATAAAGTCTTCTGAAAAGACTTCTAGTTTTCCCTTTGGAGACACAAGGTTGGAGCTGCGATTAAACAGGATACTCACAGTCAGATAGAATTCCTTTAGCAAATTTGTCGCATAACATCAAGTGCCTATCAATGACAATGTCAATGATATGGCCCAGCGGGATACCACTTGCCCTATTGACTGATAGTCTTCAGAGTTCTACGAGGTATAACATAGTCTCTTTTAAGCAATCCACGAAAGAATAAGGGTGAACAATAAAGAAGAATAAGTAAGATGCACGAGTTGACAAAATATAGATCAGTCATCGATAGTAAAATCTTTGAGGGATTATGGATAAATTTTATGAATATCTATCGTCAGTGTTTGTGCATTGGTGGCACAGTGGTAGAATGCTCTCCGACCACGCATTTGGTCCAGGGTTAGATCCCCGACCAGCACACTCCCTTACCTCTCTAAGTCAGTATGTGTATGGGACTGGGAACCCCATCTTTTAAAGTTCAACACCACTGCTATTGAAACTTCAAGCCTCTAGCTTCAGGCCCTATGTTCCACTGGGAACGTACAGGAATAAAAACAATCACCAATATTTATAGGACTTATATATTGACTGGTTGTTAAATTATATGTCTAGGAATTCGGAATGCCAATCGCAATGTGTTTTGGTATACAGGCTATGATTTTCCTATTCTGATATGCCAAGATATACCTAGCCGTTATCATGTAATATGCAGTGACAATGTGTCCTACTCTTCATATAGAAACTGAAGGTAAGCTACAGTTTATGCTTGCATAATACCTTTCGATTGGCATATGTAAGGCAGAAACATATTTGTGCAAATAATTATTTTACTTTCAAATGACATTGAACAAATAAATCTGTTATTACCAAGGTGATTAGAATACTGGCTCAGTGATTTGCATAGAAGGTAATGCACCCATCAGTTTGGAAGAGAACAAAATGAGTATTATATACTTTGTCAGTGTTGGTGAACACTAAAAGATTTGCTTATTCAAAAATGGTCTCCGTTTAGCAGAATACAGCAATGGCAATCGTTGTTGAATAGTATACTGGTTTTCGCCAGAGGACTGGTGAAATACGACCTGAAGTATTATTGTACATTTTAATAATTTTTATTGACGAACTTTGCGTATAGTGGCTTGTAATCCGATTTCGTAATCAGTGGACAAATAAACAATCTCATTATGCTTCCGCATTGGTTACTGTGTGTATAGTATTCAGTATATCAGGCACAGTCCTCTGAAATCAGTGATAGATTAAGGATGTTTACGATCTCTCATAACTAATGTAGGACCAAAGGTAAAGAAACAAACTAAGTTTCCTTCAGTCACATTCCAACTAAACATTATCAGTGATTTCATTGCAACACCTGTAATAAATGGTACTAGCCACTTTTTGATGTGTTGTTCAAGAAATCAAGTAATCCCATGATCATTTCGCATGTCACTTCATATCCATTCAAGTCGATGTACTTGAACGTTTCGTTGACATACATTGAATCACTAGGTTTTAGGCATTCTCATGGTCCAAACTACTCCCTGATGCTGAGTGCTGTTGACCTCCACACAGTCTTGAGAGTAATGAAAGCTTGTCTTGCTTTCCCGATCCTCTCTTCTATATCCTCGTCAGTTCCGCCCGCCTGTAGTTGGAACGATGCTTTCCAGGTAGGCAGGTGAAGGATGTTGTTTCTTTCAGGTTCCTCCCATTTATGCTATTTGTTGTGTGTTGTTATTGCTGATGCTTGTGCTGTTGGCCAGGAACCTTAATCGCTTCTGTTTTCTCTGTTTACTTGGAGTGCTATCTTTGATGCTCCTTCTGTCGACTTGTTGCTTCTCACTTGCATATCTTATGGTTTGTGGGATGTCAATGCAAGTTGACTGTTTATTAACAGTGTAGAAAGTATTTCAGATATTCTTAAACGCAGCTGTAACTAAAATACTGTTTGAAAAATTCTTCCAAGACGGTATAATTACAACATTGATACTTATTTAGATGTTTCAATTAACTTTTTAAGACGAATCTAAAATTTCTTTTCTTGATGTTGAACTTACCAGTAGTGCTAACAAAACTTTATGAAGGTCCATCCATAGGAAACACCACATGGAACGGCGAACTGACAAGCTTTTACGGCAGGGTACTAATCACTCGAAAAAACCCTCATTAGATCTCTTGCTACTCGCGTCTAACGCATCTGTACCTGTGATACCCTGAAAGAACTACACATCCTAAAATAAATCTTCATACAAAACTGATATCCACCAAGATATATAGACAAAAACATCAGACAGAAAGTCCAAAAGACAAGAGACGCCATCCATGCCGAAAAAGATGCTTTATGTGAACTTCGACCTCAATGGTGACCTTCTCAGTGATGATTTTAGGAGGAAAATTCCCACTTTTTAAGACGAACTTTCTCTTTTGCGACAATATTGGGAGTAGTGTTCTCCAGTTGTCTGCTGATCTGCAGAAGCCCAAAGAACAAGACCTAGCACTTGACCACTTCTATGTGTACGTATCAGTTCACCTGTTGCTGTGGTGGCAGCCGAGCACTTTGGTCGTCCGACGCGCATCCTGACAAAAAGTCTCAAAGACCGTTATCTAGCGTGCCTGCAGAAAAGAAGTAGTGGCCGTATAAGGAGTGCAGTAATCATACATGTCGTCAACAATGGTCATTCCACTTCAACAAACGCCTCCTTCAAAGAAAACGTTGTAACTAACATCCATTGTTCTCCTAGGCGGTTTAGCATTGTTCTGACATTAACACACCATGTGCTGAATTGATTCCCATTACTTTTCGTTGTACTTTTTTGATCTCATCCGTTGAGGCTTTTCTTTGTGGTTATGATTATATTAATAATGTATTGTCTCGATGTACTTTTGTTTGAATGGATGAAGATCATTCTGACCTTGGCCTATCCATAGGAGGCATATGTGTGTGCGATTCCTGTGGTCAGAATTCTTGATCCCAGCTAATCTACTTGATTCTTCGTACTCGTAGTGTACTCAAACTTGAATGTATCGTCGCCGAATAACACTGTTGAAATGAATTTTTAAATGTTTATATTCTTTTTTGGTTGAAATGAAGGATAATCCTTTTGCAATCTTTGGAGAGTTTCGTGACTGCGCATGTCTCAATAAAGTTTTTTCAACCATACAGTAGAACTCAAAGATCAGTTTTGGTTATAAAAGGATAACACAGTGACTGATATTTAGTGAATGATTTGCCTTTTGATTTCAGAATTCACAGTTATTTGTTTCCTATGATTCAGTTTGGAACATCCACATGTATATGATCTGGACTAAAACAAGTTATTTTGTTTTATGGAAACACATTTTCCCAGATGAGGAATGTAAGTTGGTAAACACAATCAAAACGCAAAAAATTGTTGACATTGAAATTTCTCACTTTGTCGACGACCATAACACGTTGAAAGCAGCGGTTCTCGTCCAAACACTGGTGTTAAGCTACGTCGGGGCCTGGTGGTACTTGCATGAGTGACCAGATGGGAATATCGGGTGTTTCCGGCTTTTTTGCGCGTCGCTGAAGCAGCCGTGAATGGCTCACTGACCACTGTGGTTCGAGGTTGGATCCTCGGTCATCGATGCTCTTCCTTACCTCGCCAAGCCAGTAGCAAGTCTGGTAAAGACGGAAGGTTGGGCATGAAACTAGGAGCCTCATCCTCTAAAAATAATCATCACTGCCACAGCTTCTAGCCTGAAGCCCTATGTTCCACTGGGAACGTAAAGGAACAACAAAATAATATTTTTGACTTGTTCATTTGCTTTAGTAATGAATAATAAATCCGTTATTGCTTTCTTATAATTCATTTTATGATCTTCCTCTGATTGAAGGTGAAAAATACTGCAAAACACTCAGTAAGAAATTATTTTCAGTTGGTATCAGTTGCATGCCATCACTGAATACGTTTTATGCATGTTATGCTCAACGGTGACAACCGGCCAAACTGATGATAGTATGAATGGCGGCATATCACTGATGATGCCTCTTAGCATTATCTTTCCCTTTTCTGAAATAAGATTCCCGCGAATGTAGTATGTTTTCATGTTAATGAGCATGCAGGTGACTTTAGTCAGAAGAGCGAAATACGATGAAGATGTAATCTGGTTTAATACTTTATTCAGCAGTTCCCCAAAGATGGACTTCAACGTTTGGCAAGCTGTTGAATAATCAATACTCATTAATGAACATTTCATCGCCCCCCCCTTTTCGTTTTCTATATCACTGACCTGACAACGATGCCTTTACGTGTAATTCACTTCTCTTGCTTTAGAAACAGACGAAAGCTTTGCTGTATTGATTTCTACTACCTTTCCGAGTTTATTTGAAAACACTTTTCGCAGTTATGTCTGTCTAATTTTCTTCGCGTCTTTACTCTATCGCACACGTTGTCTCTGTAACAATATCAAGTGAAATTGGGAAACGAGTGAGTATATGTTGCCTACACTGATAGATCCAGTCATCATCTGGTATCGATTGAAAACTTTTGAGAATCCAAGTGCATTCACCACACAGCTGTTTCATCCTGGTATCTTTTTAACTCTTTCTCGGTGAAGGTTACAATTTGGTTTGCTTACTTGACCGTCTGGTCGAATTTCTATGGTTGTAGATTCCACAGCCTACTTATTTAAATAAATATTCATTCATTTTCATCTGTGTATGTGGATCTAGATTCATTTGCATTTCCAGTTGATTGTTTATGTTGCTCAATCTTTGTTGACATATCAAGATGTTAGTATGGACGCTTCCAAGATGTCTGAGTATATTTGTATTCACCTCCAATTAAGTGCCAGCCTAACTGTCAATAGTGTTATGTATGTTCAGTGTGTCTTTCTTGGCTGCACACCTGTCATCGACTCTGTATCTTGACGTCTTTGTAACTTGCACTGTTTATTTCCTCTTATCTTTCCTGGTTTTCACAAATCAATTTAGCTTGTAGAAAGATATTCCTTCCTTCTAACTTTCTCTATAATGGAGTCAAGACAGTCTGGTGTTACCCGGTCTCTACCTATACACAACGTTAATTCTTGTATCCTAATCTTCTCATTTACTCTGTCTCAATCTTCCATGAGCTACTCGAGAAAGACTTTGTTCCATTGTGAAGGGCATTGAAATCTGTCAGTACAGCGAGTAGGTTGTCACTAAACCAATTTATTAATACTACTGTAGATGAACACATGAATTCATGCAAGAAATAAACGAATATTTTCTTGTCGGACCCTGAGAATTTCCTCTGTACACAACTGTCTCCCTTCATAAAGCTGTTCTTATTATTATGAAATCACTGTATATGACAGATTTCAAATATTTAGGATGGTCAGATTGCAAGCCATTGAATTAATGGCGAATGTGTTTGCCTTATAACCTTAATATCGTTGGTTTCATTGTTTGCCAGGCTGTAGGAATGTATTTCCGAAGAGACCACAGTAGAAACAGGCGAACGTTCAGTGTTACATAATCTAAAATATTTTCTACTGGATACTAGTTAGTAACTTATGTGATGTGTCTAGTCATCTGTTGGATGCAAACCTGATTTTTCCACTCAGATTAACAACGTGGCCACCATTCTAGATGACTCGCCATCGCAGTGCACTTTGAATTGCCAATATTAGATGGTTAGGGTCGATCGGTCACAGTTAGTCTTGTCTCGCCTTGGTTTCGTCCTAGTTGGCACTCGCCAAACAGCCAGGTGGGAATATCCGCTACATTAAAAGAGCTTATATCCCTTCTGAGATTTGAACATGAGTGTCAACAAGCACCAAACCTAGATATAAGGTCTCCTGTGACCACCTAATACCGACAAATTAACTTTGCACCGTGATGGCGTGCCACCTAGAATGGTTGCCACTTTGCTAACCTTACTCATAGGATCTGGTCTTCACCAAAAACGGCAAGATACATCACACTAGTTACTGGCTAGTGTCCAATCAAAGTATCCAGTACAGTCCTACAGGAGGTCAGTCGCAAGCCCAAATAGCACGGTGATAATAACTCTGAGTGCAGCATTGGATGACTCGGATTCAAATCTGAGGGAGGAAATGGGTTTCTTCAAGCCCGCAGACATTCCTGCCCTGTTGACTGGTGATCGCAAACTGGCACGAAACCTAGACAAGGCAAGGCATCCTGCCGACTGCCTGCAACAACCTAATACAAACAATGTACAATGTTTTTATATATGATGTAAAGACGTCTCATTTCAAATCAGTTAAGTTACTATACAACGAATTTCCAAACAGTAAATTTTGAAAAGAATGTTGTTGGCATCTTCAGTTTTCGCATACAAATTACTCACACACTTAGTTTTAATTTTTAACACGTTACTTGTATCACCTTCAGTTTATTAGTTATAAGTGTATTAGCTCTTTATATCTTCGTTTATTGCTTTATAGATGGTTTCATTACGAAACATTGTGAGTTGAGCTGTTCATTGCTAAGATAATATCCACCGGTTGTCAATGAACTTTCTGAATGGACTTTGACACAAGTCTAAGCAAAAGGCAGATATAAGTACTAGACGGTTGAAGGCGATCTGCAGGCAGCCTTGCCTCATCTAGGCTTTGTGCTGGTTGGTACTCATCAGCATTGCGGGCGTGGCTGCAACCTCGAGGGAACTTATGCCTCTTCTGAGATTTGAACCCCGGATTGATATTAGTTGGAGAACCATTTTAAAACAAGCCACAGAGTACTGGATAGCTATTTCATCCCACTTGTGTGTGTAATTTAAGGCACGTATCGACCATTCAGTACCTTCAGTATTTTCATTTCAGATAGTTGTTATTGGCACCAAACTGTCCTGACTGTTTCTCAAGGAGTCAAAATCAAAATGCATATCGTTTGCTTGTTTTAAATGGGATTAAGAAATTGTCTAATACAACATATTATACTTGGATAATCATGGAATAGAGACGTTGTAAAATTCCTCTTATTCTTGGAAGACCTAAATGTTATCAATAATCACATGATGGATTCTACATAGAAGAAAAAAACATTAATGATCTTATTCTTTAGTTATCATCTTCACTTCCATGGTTCTTTTTAATCCATCTCAAAACATATTATCGATACTTTCTGAGTAATAATTGAAATATTGTCATTCGAGTGATTCAGATATGACATACTTACTGGTTTTGAAAGCCTGTACCCTATTGTTGATGCATATACGCAGAACAAGGCGAAATCACTTGACTTTCAAATCCTGAAGACATTCAATCAAAGGTGAGGCAATAACTAATCGCAGAATACATTGGGAATTGGTCGCTTTATATTATGAATTGGCGGAAGTTAGAATTCATGGACTGGCCATTGAATCAGGCGAGTCACAGTGACTTAATGGTCCACGATCTAGCTTGGGTTTGAACCCTGGCGCTGGGTGTGAACTTTTGAAGAGTTCCAAACTAAGACGAGACCTCTGGCTGTCCAGTTCTATGAGGCCAGCTTATGATGAAACTCTTCAGTCATTCAAAACAAAATCCCTGCAAACACCAATACTTGAAAATTCTTTCAAGGTGTAAACTGTTGATATGATGCATCTCACTTCTCGGTTTCCGTAATTACTCACATTCTCCGCATATCACAATATAGGGGGCATAAATGTTAATATTTCATCATTTGCCTTGGAAGCATTCGAGCAGAACTAGTTAAAGGAGTATATGCACATGTACGACCGATTTTCTCTTCTCCATTTGTGATTTTCATTATTGGGCCTATTAAGTGTGGTGGCGAATGAACTAATAAATTAATTCTATGAAAATGATTTAAATTCACACATTTGTTCCCCTTAATAAATTTGAATATAGCAAGAGCAATAGTTTTTGCAGAATAAGCAGATTGTACCATCGTCGTCTATTTCGTTGGCTCCTCACCATCTGCTTGCAGTCTCAGTTAATTAGTATTAAGTTCACGTACAGAAAAGTTTTATTATACTTGCAAATTTCACGTGATATCAGTTTACAGTATCTTCTTGTCTTAGTGAACAGTGTTCAGAAAATTGCGCTTATATAGTTTTACACAGGCAGTTCAAGTTAAAACAAAGAACATTCATGCATACAATGGTAAAGGAGTTATGTAATAAAGTTGCGTAGGATGATAGGTGATTAATAAAGTGGGTAAATATCAAAGGAGGGGGTTGAGGTTATCGTCAAAGATTACGTAATCAGATGAAGGAGAGAATAATGACATCCATGACGTGACAACCAGGATGGGCAAGGAATCTCTGATCACTACTTCTTTATGAACACACACACCTAAATGATGTTTCACGCGTTTGACAGAGATTGCTTCGCAAACTTGAAGAGACATCAGCTTTTATGTCTTTTGTTTTTACTATTTGATATTTAACTTACATATACCAGGTGGAATTATATGCCTTACATGTGAGTAAATGAAAACGTGTTGCTATAAATAAGACCTTCAAAATATTGATTTTCACTGACAGATAACACTTTCTATTCAATGACTTTAGTTTCCTGTGGGGATGATGCCAATCCATCCATCGTCGAAAAAATTCCATGAAATACTGGAACTAAATAATAACATCAAAAACATCATCGTACAGGGAACGTGTCTAAGCCTTGTTAGCATTACTGTTGCATTAAGTGTCAAGCAGTTCATATACGGTGCGTTATGTATATCCCGATTAAAAGGCACTCTTCTCGAAATCGCGCAGCCAGCCAGATGAGAGCTTGAAGAGAGATATGATCTGAAGTGGTGACAACTAGTGGTGTCCATCAAGGATGATCACTGTCCCTACTTCTATTCAATTTCAACATAGATGTACCAACGGACTAAACTCTAACTGACTTCAGTAACTCAAGGATTGACTTGTTACCATCAGGAAATAACCTCGTTGATTTAGAATATGCAGATTACATAGTTCTCCCTCCAAGGTAAAGACGCTGATAAAATGTAGAGTCTTCTGAATACCATGAGCAAAGATTTTAGAGTTTTTGGCGTGCGATTCTCAAGCTCCTGTCTAATGTAAGATGATCAGACTATAGGACTGGATTACATTGTCTCCTTGCTTATAAATAGGGAGTGAAGTGTTAGAGCGTGTTGGCAACTTCACTTGTTTTGAGATAGCTCACTGATTGAATCTCGGAAAGGATACATAAGTCTCGTTCGGCATATGCCATTATACGTTGTCTCTGGTGTAGACGTGATATCCGGCTGGCTATCAACCAAAGGGCATGTGTGCTGTTCGGCAGTCTGCTCTGTTCTCCTTTGTGGCTGTGCGACCTGACTATTGTGAGTAGGGAACAGGAAAAGGCTAGTTGTCTTTGATCAAAGGTGCCTGCGTTCAAGCTCCAGTGTGAAATGGTATAACTAGGTGAGCAATGTTGACGTTAGGCTTCGGTCGAGTGCTAGGTACGGAGGGAGGGGAAATCAGTCGAGGAGGCTATGAGGTTACATCGATTAAGTGATATGGTTAGGACATGTGTTAAGCATGCATCCCTAGCAATCGCCTTCCTCGACAACGGGCAATGTTAACTGACGTAGGATAAATCTGGCTGGGAAAGAACCAGTGGTGGTAAAACCGAAACATGACATCATCAGTCAATGAAATCAACAACAGATAGTTTAAGCTACGTGGGAAGATGTATACTTCCTGGTTGCTGTCTTCGAGATGGTAAACACCACCGAAGGCTGGTAACAATTGATGATATGGCTCAAAATCATTCTCACTGATGTCTGACACAGATGCATCTGCTGATTATGACTTACAATTTTCAATTAAACTATGTTGTATTTCAATAATGCTGTTCTTTTCCCCCTGATATCTCTGTTCACTGTCTCTATTTCGCGTTTCTTTTTACTTTCTTCTCTTGATCCGTGTACATAGTGAAGTGTGGCGACTCAAACCGCTGCACATCGGTGCAAAGTTCTATGTTACAGACGGACAGACATATATATTCCGTATAAAGGAATTATGAAAAGATGGTTAGAATGATAGATCTAATGTATATTTATGAATTAATCTGCTTATTTCATTATTTTGCATTTTGAAAATTGTGGTTAGATGTAATTTTTACAACTTTGGTGTCTTATCTAGATGGGTCAGCCGAAACTCGATACTGTGAGTTCATTGAAACTAACAAGACAGAGACATTAAACTTCCAACGTCTTAACGAGCGAACTCTTAAAATGTTAAATAGGTATGTCATAGCCTAAGTTTATTATGAAACGATAGAAGATAATATCATCTCAATCATGCATGGATCAGAAAAAACTTTAGTATCATGCGAAATACAGGACTTCTGACAATACATATCAACCTTGCTTAGAACTCCACGACAATTCTGTTTCCTGACATCCTATGTGATGATGTGAATGAGAAGTATAGCGCCTTCAGAAGTAGAGTGCCAGGTTATTGATTTTCACCCATCTGCAGATTAGTTGGAATATCTTTTGTGGATCAGCACAGAATCTTTCAGTAGAAACTTCCTACTATTACGCGAATCAAGTGAAACATATCATATCCGTATGGTCCTGCTGCCTCCTCAAATGCGATCAGTATACTGAAGTTCCCCCCTAAGGCACTGAAAATTGACACAGAGACTGTGGCGGATATACTGACGAAATTACTGCAACAGGTTTGGATAAAAGGGAAAATGCTTACTGACTGGAAGAAGGGCTACATTGTCAAACTGACAAAGAAGGGCGAATTTCACCTCTCACTGCAAGCATTTGCTGGCGTGGAATAATCCTCTTGTCCACGCCAATTAAAGTACTAAGTCGCATCATCCTGAAGGGAATAAAACATGAACTGGATACAGAACTCCAGCCATCGTAACAAGCACTATTCAGGAAAGACAAATCATGCGTCGATCAACTTGCATCTCTACGCATCATCACAGAACAAAGCATAGAATGGCAATCTAACCTCTTTTTATACCAACTTCATCGACTTCGAAAAAACCTTCAACAGACAGCGTTGACCGAGAAGTAATTTGGAAACTGTCACCGATGATATTCTCATTTGTGTTGAGCTGGATTATGCTTCAGAATGTGCGTTGGGAGTGTGAAGACAGGAATGCACTAGATCGACAAGAAGACTCTAGAATATCTGGATTTCGCGTGTGGATTATGAATGTTTAATGTCACACAACCTAAGTAACTTACAAGCTGAGACCAACAAATTGGCCAGAGATATTTACTAGATAAAGAAAATGGAGGTGATGGAGATAAGTGACCACCACCACCACCACCAACAACAACAACAACAACTAGCACCAATCACTATCAACAAGAGAAACTTCAAAGAGGTTACCTCCCTCAATTATTCAAGCAAGAAGTATCGTTTTAACTACAGGCGGACTGCACAGATGAAGACGTGATGATTAAACTGATGGCAAACCAGAAACAATAAATAACAGGAAACTCTGGCTAGTAACAAACCTATGGACGACATCCGATCGCTCAACAAATATGTGAGAGAAAATGGAGATTTATGTATCGGGCATACATTCGGGAGACTGCAGAATGACATCTCACGCAAGACCGGCCATCCATCACTCGAGTGGAATCCAAATAGGAATCGATGAGTGAGCGTTCTGTACAAGGGTGACATGGAGGAGGTCATGTGGTGAGGAGCAAATGAGAGATTATAAGCAATCGTGGACACAGGCGAAGAAGACAGAGGAAGATAAAAAAAATTGTAGATGTGTTTTGTAAAGCGGTTTTTTCCACTCGGAACTCAAGGGAATAATAACAATATCACCTCGGCTTATTGGTTCCTCACAGTTTAAAGGAAAACTTCTAACTGTCAACGGAGCCTTAGTAACTTCAAACATCACTTTCAAGATTAACATATCCAAAGAAACAATTAATAAATTCAAAGAGAAACTGTTGTAAATCATTTCAGGCCAGAAATTAAAACATTTTCCTGTCCATGTGTAAAATGAAAGAGTAGGGTAAGTTATGAGTTTTACGTCTCACACATACATTTTAGAAAGAAGTTTGAACCCACTGTTATGTCTTTTGTGAAGGAAATGGATGGAACAGTACTACTTTAAGTGATGGATTAGCAATTACTTGAGCATTTCAAAGAAGAAGTAATTGTCCTACAATAAAACTGACTGGAAATTCTATATTATGTTTAGAAGCATATTTTCAGGATAAAGCAGTAATTATTATTGAAAATACTTTTCAAGCCACTATCTCACCATAAAAAGTTATTTTCACTGTATCCTCCCGTTTTAAATCCTGTCAGGTGTACTTGCTTGTTCAATGAAAGGTAATTGATGGAAGTTTCAACCTGACGCTGTCATATTTTATACAGATCGACAGTGAAAATCCTACGATAAAATGAGGATATATTTTTGAATGAGGGCATTAAAATGATTATAAAATATTCAAGAGACTTTTATTTCATTTCTCGAAAAATGTTAAAGGGGTCACCCAAATGTTGTATGCAACATTATCACTATTAGCAGAAAGGGGAACTTACGGAACAATCAGTTCAATTTACCGGTTAAGTGATAAAATGACTCACGTATAATTTGACACTTTCGCAGTTTTATCCACGTTAGGTCGCAGGAACACACTACTAATGCTTCCCATATGAGAGGTTAATAGCTCAAAGCATTGGCTTTTCAGGCGAAAAGAACTTGAGTGCAGCTAGAGAAGCCATAAACCATCACTGCAAATTTCAGAATGACAAATGCCACAACTAACCACGTCAATATAATGTTGACACTGCGTAACGATTTTTACAATGAATTCTTCTGTATGCATTTGGAATTTTCATCTGTAGAGAAAGTACTATTGAAATAAGGAATGCTCTTTTTAGTTTTACTTAATGCATCATTTTTGATCGCTTAAAATAAATGACGGCATGGCTAAATGAAACTTGAAGCACCATAAATTACTAATCACCTAATTATCTTGAATAGTTCAATGTGTTTCGTCCACGAGAGTTAAAGGTTCTATTTCGCTTGATTCGAGTCAAATGCCTGCTGTAACGCAGTTGCGCTTGCAGTCTGGTGGGGGGTAAGGTTGTCCAGCATTTATTGGATTTGGGGCTCTTTAGGAAGTACACAGTGGTTAGGACTCTCGCCAACCATGCACATGGTCCGAGGTTCGATCCCCTGCCGATGCACACCTGATATCTATGGTTGGCCTGCAAAATTTGGGCTACCGATATCCATGTAGAAAATTCCATACAAGTACCAAAAATACTGTGTGGAATCAAGCTGTAATCAAAAATAAAATAAAAAATGAAAATAAAAAAGATTTGTTCATGTGGAGGTTTCAAGAGTATAAAAAGCTTCAGCAGGTTGATTCATGGATGTGTCAATCGTTTTGCTATTTGTTTTACATGAGTAAGTGCCAGGGAAAATAAAATGATGATTCTAATAATTCGTAGGAAAATCTTATTGACTGGTCCCATCTGTTTTTAACCCAGTTTGTGTATGTTTGTAATTACTACGTCTTCAAACAGCTTGTGAGAGGCGCACCTACTGGAGCTGAAAATAGCCTCTTACCTACAGTTCAGGGGTACCAGCACTGCAGAGATATCGCGACATGGAAAATGGAGAGAATTACTTCGTTTTGCGAGGAGAAGGTATCGACGTACACGTGGACGAAGCTGTCTTGCTGAAGAAAAAGACAACTGTTGTCGTGAGCGGGCAAATGATGTTGGCATAATCGGCTTATATGACACTTCTCTACAGAAAGGATTCGTGAACAGAATAGCAGACAGGTAGTCAACTACCTGAGAACCTATTACCACTCGACTGGTGAAACAGGGATCTATAATATACACATGGATGAGAGTAAAGGTTATAGCTCCTTGTCATCCTTTGGATGTATTCATCAAAAAGTGAACCATTCTAGTGATTTCGTGGGTCTCATTACAGTGAAGGTTAAAAGCCAGATTACGACTATAAATGAATCTTCAAAGAATTTCAGTCATTTAGGTGAATGTATGTCCAGAATGTTGTGTAATTTTTCATTTGATACTCCTATGCAAAAATAGGAGATGCTTGTATCACGTCTCGGACAAAGATACCCATGTAACATTTTTGTGCAGTTTCTTTGCATTTTTTCCAAAATACAGGTATATTTTCCATCACCGAAATGCCTCTCTCATGTGATTGGTTGATTGAAGGTCATTCACTGATTGGTAGTTAGTGGTTCTTAAAGTTTACCCTTACCGATGTTGGCTACAAGGACCAGTGAAAAAAATATCTAAGATGCGCTTATATAGGTGTATATATTTCCAGTCACGAAGCCAAAGAGAACGAAGTCCTCGTGTTGAATTTCAACTGATCTTTGCAAACAAACGAGTCATATAGTGGAAATTTATACAATTCTTGTTTCTGTTATTACAACAACAGTTTGTGTTGATTTAATAAACCATATTTAGCAATTTATTTGGCTGTAATGAAAATTCACGAACAATTCTAAACATTTTAGCTCACAGTGTAAATGCGTTCTACAAATGTAAGTTAGTTATTATGGTGCTTATCACACTGTGTCTTCTCCTTTAGATTGTACATTCAGTAATGTACACAATATATATTCCATTTTAGTTTCCTAACATCACTGTTTGACGTGAAAAGACCGCGTCGCGAGCTAGGGAACAGTACTGTGAAATCTTTCTTAACACGTATTTGACTGATTCTAAGACTGGTCATAAAGTTACTTCAGATAGAATACTCGTAAGAATCAAGACGTAGTGGACAGATCTTTCGCTTCTGTTTGGAGTTTTTCAGCGGTTTGCATCTCATTAGTCGAAATTGTCTCACTGGCTGAACGGTCATCAAGCTTATCTTGTGACGTGAAAGTCCAAGGCTTCGAAATGAAGTAATGGTAATGAAGTCATTGGTGTACGATATATAACAGTTCCAAATTAGTATATCCAATAAGCCTTAGTTTTTAAAGGTTCTCTGACTGAAGTCAGTTCGTGGTCAGTTGTAATGTGTATTACCTGTGTTCATGACCAGCACACTAACAAACCAGTGCATCATAAGGCAAAGATGCACATTTGCATATAATGGGCGGTCCATCTACAATGTCTAATTAAGATCCTAACCTTGACATCCTCATCTGTACCGGCTACACTTGGGACGATGCTGACTTCATAAGTGAAACAAGTGACCTCCTTGAAAACCTTTCCCGTTGATGGTGGTTAGTGCATTTTCTTTCTGGTTAGGTATTTTCATTTATTCTGTCTCCTATATGTTCATATGGATTCCTCCTTCGGCTGGTTATCTTATATTATAAATATCACTAACATCAGTTCATGTAAACTGTGTCTATTACAGATTATTACTCAGAGTGTGATGCAACTGTTTATGCTAGGCGTTGATCCATGCTACCGTAAGTTTATCATAAACACCTGAAAGCAAATATAATTGTCGTACATTTCTAAGTATCTTGAAAGTGAGCAGAGTGTATCAGTTTTACATTCTATGAAAAACGATAAATGAGCTAATAGACGGATGTATGGGGATAAGAATTATTACACAAGGTGACTCCTATCTCCCTTGGTCATTGGATTCTGTTAGCTCCACTACTTATTTCATTGGGGAGAAATATTCAACCATGTTCTGTGAAGGCTTGTGTAATTTCAGAATGACATCTTATAAATTAGAAAAATATAAATGCCAAATATTTATGTCTACAAATTTCATTAAAACTGGGGATCAGCAAAAAAGGCAAAGGATGCTAAAAGAGCTGTTCAAAAGCAAAACTAAGTCAAACCATACCACACTGTTCTTCACTTTATTACCGATATCAGATTCTAGAAAAGGACCTATAATCCTGAAATTGTGGAGAGTTACTGGATAGCTTTTATGGTTAGGTTACGGTTCATGCAAGTAAATACAGGAGTGCTTCAGAATCCTGACATAATGGATAGTAATTTTCAGATTTTCAGTCAATTATTAGCTAACAATAAAACTTAGGGTTCACCGATTTTGAGTAAGCCATCAAATAGTGTCCACTAAAAACATATCGTATGAAATGTATTCCCTAATATATGAAGTTAGTTACTTTTCTATGGTCTAAAGTTAATGTGCACAAAGGACCTATACATGATAGAGAGGATTTGTAGCTCAGGAGGATGATTTGGATGTGTTTGTTTTGTCTGAGCTAAATAGTTTATTTGAGAAGCTTTCATTGCCTTATTAGGCAAAATCGGCAGCGCATACTTCAATTTGTGGAACTAACGTTTTACATTTCTCCACAAGTTTATTAGTTATCTCTCCTGATGGGTGACATTGAACGTGGTTGGTTGTCTTTGGGATTTTACACCCTCTAGGCTACTTGAGTTGGTATTGATTGTTTCCTTGGAGTTGGACAAAACTCACAACTTAATAAACAGTGTTTTCAACGACATCAAACTAACAAGAGAAAAGGATTCCGAGAAAAAATCCTATTTTTGGGCGTTTTAGTCAAGCGAACAGTCATAGGGGAATTAGGAACTCAAGTTTATAGAAAATCAACTCACACAGACTAAATACTCAAGTGCAACAGCAACAGTTCAATAACACACAAAATAAGTTGTATGCAAACCCCATTCAAGAGTGCAAGGACTCATTGCACCACATCCACCTCAAGGAAAATTGAAGAAATATATCTCATGGACTTCTTCCAAAAGAATGCATATCCACGGAACTTAATCAAAAGACATGTACCCCCGAGCCAAGGCCTACCAAATCAAAAACTCCCAAGGAAAAGACAAAGAAATATCTCAGAAATCCCTGCAAAACTCTTCAAACCTTCAAGAAGTGACGTCTCACACAAACCAGCAAAATCACTTCACTCAGCCCTATGTCAACCAAAAGACTCAACAGTGAAAGAAGGTAAAATCAATATCAACTACAAAATAAACTGTAACCACTTCAAAAAACACTACACGTCTTCTTCGTCTTCGTATCCATGGACACAAGCTAGCCGTCAAAAGACATGACATCCAGTCTCTTATATCTCCTTACTACATACAGACAACCACGAACATCGATTCGACCAGGACAACGTTCAGATAGTAGACAGAGGAAATACCAGGGACGCTCAAATAATCAAACTTCGAGTCAAGCCAGAACAACACAATTAGGCTAGAAGGCGTGAGAACACAGAAAAACAACTAACCGCGTTCAAAGTCACACACCAGGTGAGATGACTTAAAAACTCGTGAAGAAATCTAAAGGCTCCCTTCTTCAATTTAAAGTATGCACTGAAAATGTTGTCTAGTAGGGCGATGAAAGCCTGGAAAATTAGCTATGAAGCTCAGAAAGCACAATTACATCAAAAAATGTACATCGGATTTCTCATAAATTTAGGAATATATTGAATTTTCTTTATCTTTTAATGCTTAATTACACCTTCAACACTAAAGATGAACCAAAGTCAAACGCAACGTGTAAGTACACTGTGTGAATGCTACATTTTTGCGAAATATTTAGATAAGAGCATATTTTAGCTAGATATCTGAAGTCCGTTATTTCTTCTGGAAATGTCAGTGTAACTTTTGAATGACACGAAAACCTAAACAGAAACACCTTTCCTATAGTATCCTTATCCTAAAGTTCATTTATTATATTTTATCTCCTAATCAAGAGACGATACCATACACCTTTCGAATTTATCAAGTGTTCTTTTCAAACAGAATCAATCCTCAACTCGGTTTCTTGTCAGATTAACAATTTAACGTAATTTATATTCTCCCGTTATATCTTATCGATGTTTGTTATACTTTTTGGACTGTACATCATATTTGTAATGCCCTGAGAAAGCAGACCATAAGAATTCAACTCATGCTATCCGAATCTCAATTTTACCACAGTACACGAGAAAAATTATTATTATTATTATATCCTGTAATTCCTAGAGGAACATAGGGCTTCAGCTGAGCGTCTATATTGCGTTCGGTTTTCTGCGAACTTTTTCACCCCGCTCCAAGTCTGCCCATATGCTTTCATCTCCTCTTCATATAACCTCCTCCAAGTCACCCTTGCACTGACGACCGACTCGCCGCTTCCCTTTCAGATTCCACTCGAGCGATGGCTTGTCTAGTGATGTCACTTGATGGTTTCCTCAGAGTTTGGCTAATCCACCTCCATTTCTTCCTGCCTATTTGTTTCACAATCTGTTCCTGGTTGGTTCACTCATTGCCAGGGATCCCTGTTGCTGGTATTTTCTGGTCAGCCATCCGATCTCGAGTACTGAGCGAAGACAACTGTTAATGAAGGTCTGTAGCTTGTTTGAAATGCTCTTTATGACGCGCTGGCCAAGTCTTTGATCCGTATAGCAAGTAGCACTGACTTCACATTGGAGTTGAAAATCCGGATCTTACTTTCATTTTCTTGCTGAATGCTGTTGACCTTACACAGACTTAAGACTAAGGAAAGCTTGTCTTGCTTTTCCGATTCTTGCTTTGATATCCTCTTCAGTTCCACGTGTAGTTGAAACGATGCTTCCCAGGTAGGTAAAGGAGGTTGTTTCATACATTTGGTTCCCTTGATAAATTTTGATAGAGAAAGAAACACCAGATTTGCAGTATAAAATGATATCATTCTATTTCACAGGTTTTCATCAGAACTGCAAGCCACTTGAAATTACAATGGTTATAAATAATAACATTTCATACTTCATTGTTTGAAAGGTAATAGAGAAAACATTATAAGGTGAACGCATCTGGAATATAAGTATTATAATCTAAGTCACCATCAATTTATATACTATCAAACTATGAAAGAAGAAAAAAAAGGGGGGTGAGAGAAGACAGAAAACAGAAAAATCTAATAAACAGTGTCAACATAGCAACTCAAGAAGGTCAAGGTTCATCAATTTGAAAACTTGCTTAGTGAGTTGAGCTCACTAGTGTGTATGACTAATCAGTGTAATGAAAGTGATATGGTTACCAAGGGAGTGAGAGATTGACCACACTCTCTTTCTGTATGCATAAGTTTGGTCTGTGACGTTTGATTGCAATTGCTTCAGCAAATCGTAGTAGATTCGCTGTCCTTTGTATGTTTAATATTTTGAAGGATTTAGAAATCTCGACAAAATGACCCGTATCCACAAGGTGTCTGGTAATTGAACTTTGTAAATATCTGCTTCCTTTTAGGCATAAGTTTCTTGGAATATGCTCTGAAAACCGGATAGAAGCCCTTCTTTCTGTCCTTCCAATGTACTTGCTGCCGCAGGTACACGTAAATTTATAAATGCAGTTGGAGGTAACATCAGCAGGGTACTTATCCAGTTTCGATTGCCTTATAGAGCATGTAGTACTGTATAGTGTCACCAAATTGGCTGCAGGGAAGCATCTCTTTATTGCTCCCTTCATCTTCTTTTCAATCTTTTGCGATACGGTTTCTCCTTTGTATGGGAGGCAAATGAACACTTTCTTCTTCTCAACTGTTGGAGATTTCTCTTTCTCATCTTTTTCTTTGCTGTACTTTAGGATAAATCCTTTTGGATACCCGTTTTCCTTAAGGCATTTTTCGACAAAGCTTAATTCTTCTTCTACTTTGTTAGGCGAACATAACTTCCTGGCCCTGTCGTATAGTTTCCTCACTAATCCCCGCTTGTAGCTCATAGGGCAGAAGCTGTTATAATGAAGGTATTGTCCGGTCCAAGTTTCTTTCCTGTAGATGGACTTTTCGACCGTTCCATCGTTTCTTCTTTTTACATTTAGGTCCAGGAAATTAAACTCATCGTTGTGTTCGTATTCCATGGTGAATTTAATGTTTGGGTGGACCTCATTTAGGCGGTCAAATATTACGGATGCATGACTCATGTCGTTACAAACAACAAAAGTATCATCGACGTATCGACGGTAGTATGTTGTTCCATTGATAGCGTCACTCAGTCTTGTCTGTTCGAGATAGCCCATGAAGATGTCTGCTAGAATGGGTCCTAGGGGTGAACCCATGGCGACCCCGTCAATTTGTCGGTAGAATTGGTTATTGAATCTAAATTGGATGTCTTTTGTGCAAAGAATTAGTAGCCGTTTCATCTCTGACTCCGGTAGTGGCAATAGATCTCTTTGCTTACAAATGATATCTATTGTTTCCATCACTGGTACATTTGTGAATAAGGCAGTCACGTCGTATGACACCATCAGTTTATCTGATATGTCAACGTGATCGACTTCTTTAGAAAATTGGAAGGTGTCATCCAAGCTATGACTTGAAAATTTTTGTCGAATTGGCTTCAATGAATCAGCTAGCCATCGGGCTAGTTTGTGGCATGGTGAGTTTATCATTGATAATATCGGCCTTAAGGGCACATTGGCCTTATGGATTTTTGGTAGACCGTACATAAATGGGAGTCGTCCCCCCTTTGATTTGAGTTCATTGTACGTTTTGTTGTCAATCAGTTTCTTGATGAGTAGTTCTTTGAGGCATTTATTTACTTTATTTTCGAATGACGTTGTTGCATCCTTCTTGGTTTTGTCCACTTGGAATTTTCCGGAGTCGTTAAGAATTGTCAACATTTTATGTACACAATCAGTTTTATTCATTATAACAATTCCAGAGCCTTTGTCGGGTCTAAACATGACGATATCATCATTTTCACATAGTCTCCTTAGTGCCGCTCTATGCTCCTCAGTAAGCATATTTTGTTTTCCGGACGGTGATGTGTGATATTGGTTGGCTATATCAACCAGTTTGGACTTTAGCCATCCTCGTTTGTCTTCATCCACAGGTTGCAGGTCAGAAAGTTGATAGTATAGGTATTCAAACTGTGTTTCTGTATCTATACGGTTTATGTGCCTTTTAGGGACGTGAAACTTGAATCCCAAAGATAAGGCTTCTAATTCAATTTTGCTTAATTGTAAATTTGACAGATTGCAAACGTAACGTTCAGGTGCTTCTGGGAAATCTTCAGTTAACTTTTCCTTGACTAATGCTTTTGTCAGTTGATTTTCATATTCTTCTGCAGTCTTGGACTGTAATTCTTTGACGAAGTTCATGAATTTGAGCCAGCAAATAATATTTAGCTCATTTATTGTGATATCATAAGTAGCCAGACGAGACTTCAGATTGGAAAGATATTTAGTCGAGGATTCGATATGCGACTTCGTTATCCGACGAAGGTTCTTTTGAGTAGGAGGGAGTTTAGATGTTCGAAGTTGTTTCAAAAATTGTCGCGGAAAACAACCTGTTTGCAGACACTGTTCGTAGAACTTGATCCTTGCCGACTCTCTGGATATTCTGCATCTCAAAGTCATTACCTGATTCAATGACTTAATAGTTTTGGCATTTTGATAGTATATAAATTGATGGTGATTGACTTAGATTATAATACTCATATTCCAGATGCGTTCACCTTATAATGTTTTCTCTATTACTTTTCAAACAATGAAGTATGAAATGTTATTATTTATAACCATTGTAATTTCAGGGAGGTTGTTTCTTTAAGGTTTCTCCCATTTATGCTGGCTGTTTGTTGTCTGTTGTTGTTGCTGTTGCTTTTGGATAAGAATCTTCACCACCTATGTTTTATCTATGTTCACCTGAAGTCTATCTTTGATGCTTCTTCTGCCAACTTGTTGCTTTCTACTTGCATATCTTCCAGTTTGTGGGAAATCAGACGAAAATCATCGGCGAAGTCCATATCCTTCAAGATTTTTGTGTGGGTCCAGTTTATGCCTGCTTCCTCATTGCCCGTTGTCTGTCGCATTATCAAGTCTACTGCAATCAGGAATATCATTGCCGATAGTAGACAGGCTTTCTTCACTCCCGTCCTCACTTCGAAGGATTCCGTGAGTTTCCCACTGTGGATTACTTGGCATGTAGCACTGTCGTACAACTGTTGGATGAGATGTATAATTGTTGATGGCACCCGGTAGTAGCGAAGTAGTTTCCAAATCACCTCTCGATCGACGCTGTCTAGTGAAGGCCTTTTCAAAGTCGATGAAGTTGAGATAGAGATATGACTGCCATTCCAAGCTTTGTTCAATGATGATCCGTATTGTGCTGATTTGATCAATACATGACTTGTTTCGCCTGAATGCAGCTTGTTCCGGTCGAAGTTTTTCATCCAGGTCTAGTTTGATTCTCTCCAGCAAATGATGCTGTTCAATTCCTCGCCGTTTCTTCAGTGCAAAATGACTGACGGCACATTTGAAAGATCTACATTCAGAAAGTCTCCATGAACAAGTCATTACATACATTTCAACAGGTTTGTTCCAATCCAGTATTAAAATAACTCAATCAGAACTCTAATCAATAGAGCGCTGAAAACTCACTCTGACAGTTAAAGTTGAGCATGCAATAAGAGGTTTGATGGATATTCTATTTAAGAATGGGTATTCTGAGGAGTTCATTATTAAAACCTCAGCAGAAATGAGCCCCTGCAAAACTATCCAAACTGTTCCGAAGAAATCTATCTATCATAATTTATCATTCAAAGGAGATGATATACAAGAAGTAGTCAAACGAAGACTCGATAAAGCCATCAAGAGAACTTATTATGCTGCAAAACCTGTTTTCCTTAACAGCACCAGGCGAAAGTTTCAACAGTCTGGGTAGAACCAGTCACAAATCCTCAACACTTCAAACTGCGTTTATCGAACTGAGTGTGTTTGTGAAACCAAATTCATAGGTCGTACAGAAAGGCGATTGCCTATTCACACGATGGAATATTTGCCAAAATGGTTGAAAAAATAGCTGAAGTCAAAGGGACAAAGAGCTCACTAACAAAGCATCTTGTGAACCATGAACATGATATCGATGCTTTCAAGTCATCCACTGTTATTGTCAGCAGACAAAGAAACAGGGAACTACTTGTAATTTCAGAAGCTTGTGCAATCCCAGTTTTTTCAATCAGGTTTCTGTTAACAAGAGGAGATGGTCGTCACCCTGAATCTACCATGGTAATACATTTTACTTATTAAGTGTTACTATCAATAATATTAGTGATACTTTATTCTACCTCTTATTATTATTGATTCATTTAAAACTATCTTTTATCAGTAGCATTGTCTTAACTCACTTCGACATTATTATTATTGTTGTCACGACTATTACTGGTAATATCACTCAGTTCACAGTTCTCAATATATTCTCTGATGACTTATTGTTATGTTTGAACAAGGCATTAAGAAGACAAATTTCGCGAGATGATATCATTTCGTAGTTTCTTTACAACCGCTTTACAACTAACATGGTTAACAATGATAAAATAAAGTTCATGAAATTTACTCAGTTAAATAAAAACATGTACATGTATATTCAGTTTTATTAGCTAATGGTTATCCGGAGAGCTTTATCACTTGTCACAGCAAAGAAAAACCACATCTCGAAAAGACAGCTTCTGTACCAAAGAAAGCCATCTTTATTAATCTACCATTCAAGGGCGACCAGATTATGCAGTTGACAACTCAAAGACTTCGATCAGCCATCAAACGCACATTCTACGCCGCATCTCTTTTTTTCTCACTTGCCGAACATTTTCGATCCCTGTTCCTGCGATTAAAGGACGAAATTCTGTGGACTCTACTTCAAACTGTATCTACAAGTTCACCTGCAGCTGCGGGGACACCTATATAGGTAGAACTAACAGAATGTTCCAATGTCGTTGAAAAGAACATATTCCAAAATGGCTAGTAAACCATATCGAAAATCCCAACGCGATTAATCTTAATAGAAATCCAGCATCATCCATTGCAAAACACTTATTAATGTCTGGTCACAAAATAAATATTAATGACTGTTTCACAATTATTTCACATAACTCTAATTCAAGGTTATTGAAGGTGATGGAAGCACTTTGAATTAATCACATACAGCCTAAACTGTGTGTACAAAAATCAATAGACTTCAATCTTCGCCTACCCTGGACTGCATGACCTATCTTAATATGATTGGTCATTAGTATGTACTTTTGTTTTTATTTAACTGAGTAAATTTCATGAACTTTATTTTATCATTGTTAACCATGTTAGTTGTAAAGCGGTTGTAAAGAAACTACGAAATGATATCATCTCGCGAAATTTGTCTTCTTAATGCCTTGTTCAAATTTATCAAAGGGACTAATTGTTTTAATTATTGTTATGTGACTGAAGCGCAATGAATTTTATTTTCATTTCAATTCTCCATGCTCCTTCTCCCCTTATCTATTTGAACATGCCCTTGAATTCAATGTAGTTTTTTTGTTTATTAGTCTCATATCTCCCAATGTAATTTCAAAAGTATATAAATCCGTGTATTTAGAGTATTCAGCTGAAGAATTCAAATGAAATTTGATGAATTTATTATATCCTGTTGCTTGTTATATATTTCATCTACGTTTTTTAGGCGAGGAATACTGTCGTCAATTTTGTGAGTGTTTTTATCGGATGATTCAGCTATTAAGTGTATGCTTGATAAAACACTGAGATCAGCGTGATTTTTTGTGTTTGTTGTGGGTTATATTATGTTTTTGCGTTTCATTCAAAATAATCAAAAATATTTGGACAGCTGTTTCGTCCAGGTGTAGGACTACCCGTCAGTACGAACGCACATGTGTTCGAATCCAGGACATTCCCGTTACATGACGGACTCATAGACCATCAACATAAACCAATAATTAAGGGCTTACGAGTTCGCCTTGTAACCCGAAGGTCGTGAGTTAGAATCCCAGTGGGTGCCTACTTATGAGGACTCTTAAATTAGGACGAAACACCTGGAAATCTAGTACTCCAAGCCGGCTTTCCAATAGTTCTCTAACCGATGCCAGTTGATGATGGAATCCGGAGACAAGAGTGACGTAGGTGGAAGCGTCAAATAAATAGGTTGAAATGAGCAATTAATTCTGTGAGAATAGAGGGAATATGGAAAAAGTGAGGAAAGTCAGTATTGAATGTTGCATCTAACCCATTCCTATTTGTATTATGCTGCCAAGTTTCCCAAGGTTTTTCCAACTTTACATTTCCTCATTTGCCGGCTTCTAAAAGTTGAAAAATTCGCAGTTCTGGATTGAATAGTTGATGGTGTTACAAATGTTCGTCTAGCCCATAGACCATTATTGCTGCATGATAGAAACAAAAAAATGATAGATAGTGCTAAAGGTTAGTCTCAATGAGATTGGTTACCTACCTTGACTGTTTACAGAAATCTCATCATCAATGTAATTAATAACCAGAATGAATAAGTAACAAGAAACTATGGGAACAAACCACCCAAGAACCTACCACCCCACAAATATGCAGAAGGAAATGAGCATGGATCAGATACACACTAAGGGGTTACCAGGCAGTACCTGGAGTGGAATTCGAATTGTAAACGACAAGTGCAGAGGTAATCTGAAAGGGAAATGAAGGAGATCATGAGGGGAAGAGATGAGATACTATGGAAAATCATGGAGCCCGTTAATGAAGGAGACCGTAGAGGACAGTGTAAAATGGGCGTGTGTTGCTGAAGCTCTATGTGTTCCACTCTCAAACCAAGGGAATAATAACAAAATAGTGACACAGTCAGGAGACTCACCATATATTTGGAAATCTTTCTGACTACAATAAAAGCAGAATTCCAACGCGATATAATATGATTTTTCGGTATGGGACAGCTATCTTTATTCGGTTATATGATTGATTAAAAAATGTACAGATACGATTTCTAGATGCAAACCAAAACGGTCACAAATGATTCGCCTATCAGGGATAAATCATGATAAATATTTAATTTTGTGTTGACTTGCAAATATCTCAGCAGATAAGAAGCGAATTTATGTATATAATTTTGTTTTAAAACTGTTAGACCAACCTCCTCAGTCAAATATATGTAAGAGTCTTTTATTGCATAACATTCTGTTAAGTGAAAATTTAATGTTCTGACTTTTTTTGTTCGTTTACGTTCTCAGTAAAAACATAGGACTTCAAGCTAGAGGCTTGAAGTTTTGATAGCAGCGGTATTTGGTTTTACTCGGTGGGTTGCTAATCTCATGTCAAACCTTCCCTCTTCGCCGGTCTTAATACTGGCTTAACGAAGTAAAGGAGTGCGTTGGCCGGGGAATGAACCCCGGATCACATGCGTTGTTGGCGAGCATTCTGTTCTTGTGCTACCAATGCAATGTTCCGATTACAATTCTCTAATTATGCATACACTGAAAAACGTCTGAATAAATAAGGGTGTTTATTAGTTAAATGCCTAGGTGGGAATCAACAGGAAGTTCTTAACTTTGTCTTACGTTTTATATTCATCTGTCTGCTGAGTAACTGTGAATTTCACCAAAGAACTGAAGTCCGATAATATGGATAATTTATGTGAATGGACATTCTTCATTGATGTCCAGTCGTTTCTAGTGAGCTGTTGGAGGTAATAATCAGCCGTTATGTGAATGTGAAGGCTATATTGATACATCACAGGGACTAAACGATTTCATACAAATTTGCGCTTAATGATTTCTGTTGGCATATATACGACGTGACAACTAGTCATTTAACGTGGTGTCCACACTGCAAACTCAATTAACTATATACCCTCTAGAAGTCAAACGATTAACAACTTATTTTCACTTGATCTATTTTATTCATCATGAAGTTGTTAGCCTTCTACTTTTACTCACATCGTTTTGAAAATTCTTGAAAGTTTGAAATGCCTTCTCACTCGCCTCAGACTGTGGGGAGTGAAAAGACAGGAATACACTGGACTGATAAGAACACTCAAGAAAATCTGGGTTATGGGCGTGGATGATCTGTATATTAATGTCAGACAAACTCGAAGACTTGCAGACGAAACAAACAAGTTGGGAGAAGAAGCAGTGAATAAAGAACATACAGAAGACGAGAAGATGAAGGTAGCCAACCAACGGCAACAACAACCAGCACCAATCACCATCAACGCAAGAGATCTGACAGAGGTTACTTTCAACCTTCAGTTGTCTGGCTAGGAAGCACGGCTTCCACCACAGGCCGGTGGAGTGGATGAAGATGTGAAATTCAGCCAATAAGAATTGGAAAGGCAAGACACGCCTTCATCAACCTGAAATCGGTTTAGAAATCTTCCGCACTCGTCAGCATTAGGAACAAGATTTGGATCTTCAACAAAAATGTGAAGTCAGTCACTTCTTCTATATGGTTGAGGAAAGTACAGTGCGTGTCACGAAAAGAATTTCCAACAAGCTACTGCAGACTTTTATCAATGACCCTCCTCAATGATTCCATACTGAAGGTCAGATAGCCAGCTGTCCAGAAAGAATTAGAGACAAGATACTATGCAGTGGAAGAAACCAACGGGCGAGAGCCGACGGCTCAACACATATGTAGGAGAAAATGGAGATGGACTGGGTTTTTATTTAGGAGGCCATTGAATGGCATCGCGCTTAATGCAGGCCATGGTTCGAGTACGTTGTTGGTGTGAGAATAACATGGAGGATATGAGAGACTGTGGCAAACATTTGGCTCAGATGAGGAGGAAGCGGAAAATTGGAGACAATGGAGATGTGTTGTTGAATTAGTGTGTTCCACTTGGAACCCAAGTGAATAATAATAATTCTACTTCATACGGCGAAGTGGTAATCCCACCCCGCCCTTTTTTGTACCTAAAAACAATGCTGGGCTGAGCTCTCTGATGTTTATTATATTTAATTTCTAAATGAATCTACAGGTCCTGATGTTTGTCATGAAAGTATGTCTAATTAATTCTATGAATTTAATGCTATATCGTAATGGCTAATTTTATATTAATTGCCATTAGACTAAGTAATTTTGCTTCAAAACAAATTCTCAAATAATGACGTCTGAATTCCTAATAAACTTAACATGTGAGTATTACTCAATATTAGAGGAGATAGGAATAACAGTTGGAATTTCAGCTACGATACACATATAAGCAGTGCATGTGCATCATTTAATCAAATGGAACCTATATGTCAGAAACAGGTTTTCGTTGTGCGACGAAACTACAAAGCACACTTGTTCTGTGAGGGATAAAGATGTTACTCATATGACCAGCATGACACTTACACATATGAACTTAACAAAACACTTCTATGGACACGATTGTTTTCAGACAAATACTAAATGTAAATAACTAAATAAATCGAGGTCGACCTATAGTTCAATAAACAAGCGTGAAATAGATGATCGGAAAATAAAGTTCAATGGAAAATGTGAATTCATGAATATAATATGATGAAGATATAAGATGATTGAAATGTTGTCAAAATAGTAGACTATATAAAATGTTAGAATATGATAACACCAAATGAAATAAAATAAAACAAAAATGTAATCTGAAATAAAGAAGGTTAACAAATCCTTCCAATTCAAACCTTGAATTTTTGTGAATTACATAGTAATATCAAGACCATGGAGTAACGAAGCAGGATGTAGAAATTGTTTTTGTACAAAAAGTTCTCACCTCTTAGTATGTACTTTCAAAGGCTCTGCCATACAAAGCAAATGCACTCTTTCGCTCCCTTTCGGAAAACTTTGTAAGACAACGTAGACTATATTAAACGATGTATCAGATGTTTCGTGGTCAGTATATGCTGCAATATCGATGAAATAATAACTCTACGTTGTTGTTTGCTCAGCCAAACTGGTGACGGGATATGTTTGTTGACGAACATCCTATGTAGCCAGCTCTGCAAGATCAGGTGAATATATGAATACACATGGAATTAGACAATCAAGGTAACATTTCCTTCGTAGTGGCCAATAGCAAATTACGTGGAAGAAATGCAGAGATTGACAAGGTACCTAAAGTGTGTTGCAGCTAAACTTAGAATTTAGGAATCATAATGCGACTTTATGAATAATGTACTCCAGCTGTCCACTGGTGCAACTTTATATTAAGGAAATGTTAACTTGGTTGTCTAATGGCATGCGTATTTATGTATTGATCTGCTCGTGCGCACTTAGGTATATAGGATGTTCGTCGACAAATATATCCCGTCACCAGTTTGGCTGAGCAAACAACAACGTAGAGTTATTATTTCATCGATATTGCAGCATATACTGACCACGAAACATCTGATACATCGTTTAATATAGTCTACGTTGTCTTACAAAGTTTTCCGACAGGGAGCGAAAGAGTGCATTTGCTTTGTATGGCAGAGGCTTTGACAGTACATACTATGAGGTGAGAACTTTTTGTACAAAAACAATTTCTACATCCTGCTTCGTTACTCCATGGTCTTGATATTACTATGTAATTCACGCAAAAACTTTGCTGTCCTGCTTTATCCCATGTACCATTTTTGTTTTCTTTTATTTCACTTTATTTTGTCATATTGTAACATTTCATCTAGTCTACTACTTTGACAACATTTCAATTTTCCTATTTTTGTATCATATCAAATTCACATTTCTGAATGTACTTTATTTTGCGATCAGTAATAATGTAGATATTTTTCACGAACCAACATGATTTAGAGAACCTTTAAATACGAAAAAGATGTTTAATACCTGTTCCATTTTAATCTTCAGTTAATCAAGTTGGGTATGATGACAATGGGCAGTGTAACATGACAACATGAATTGAGAGGTTACAATTCTCGCATCACTGAATACTTAATTAATGAATGAAAAAATAATGTACACTGCATTGCAGTCACAATATCCTGAATTCTTTACCTAGTAAGGAATGAGCGCATGCAGACAAAACAACTCCTTAACGACTATTCAACTCTGCCTGGTTTGTGATTGTTCCACAATTCAAAGTAATCAGAGCCCTTACTGACTGACTGGTTTCAACATAGAACTCTGCATCAATTTACAGCAGTTCGAGTCGCTACACTCCATGTAGCACACAAAGCAAGAGAAGACGGCAAAGGGACATTCAGAAGAGAGGAGATAGTAAACAGAAATATGAGGTAAAAAGAATAGTTATATGGAAGAAAAATATAGTTTTATTGGATATTATAAGTCACAAGGAGTGGATGCCCCTGTGCAAGCCATCAACGAGAACGATTTTGAGCCATATCATTAATTGTCTCCAGCCTTCATTGGTTCTTACCATCATGAGGACCTCAATAAGACAGCAAGTCTACACCATCCCATGTGGCTAGCTTAAACTAACTGTTTTAGATTTCGTTGACTGACGAGGCCACGTTTTGGTTTGACCACCACTGGCTCTTTTCCCACGTGATCCAGTCTATGTCAGCTAACAATGCCCGTTGTCGAGGAAGGCGGTGGTAAGGTATGTGTAACACGTGTCCTAACCATCTTAATCTATGTACCTTCACAGCCTTGTGTATTGATTTCCCCTCACTACCTAGCACTCGACCGACCTCTAACCTAAGTATTGCTCACCTTATTATATCGGTTCACAGGGGAGATAAAAGGCAGGCACCTATGATCAAAGACAGCTAGCAGCCTTTTCATGTCTTCCTCTCCCACTGACCCTTACAAACTTTTAATCGAAATCTAATGTTATTATATCTAAATAATTTCATACAAAGTAATCAAAGTGTCTTACCAAAGTTGCTTTAGTGGAATTCTTGTGTATATTTATAAACGTCTTCTCAAATAAATAAATAAATAAATGAAACTTAAAGGACATTTAATAAATCAATTCTTACTTTTGTTTTATTTTTCAGACTGGGAAAGCAACATTCATAGCTGTAAGACATTTCAGATTATATTATAGCTCAGTATCTGATAATATTTGAGACGAAATTATTTGAACCACCACGTATATATACAAGCTGACCGATCAATAAATATTTCTGAATTTCTACCAATGAGTACAGTGATATTGACAATAATATTAGCTTTGGATCCCTAATTCACTATAAATTTCTTTTTCAGTATTGTAATATTTCTAAAAGTCATCAGTAATTTAGAATTTCAACCAGGTGGCCATTGTATACATATAGATTCATATACGCTTCATTTAAAGGTATCTATAGAATGTTTTCGAGAACTGCATCATAACATTACAGCAGATCTTCCATACTGCAGAAAACAAAGAATGAATGTCTCTTCGCTTTCAACTTAAAGGTAGACTTATATAAAGGTTAGTTCTGATTTAGGGGAACTGTGATATTTCCTCTTCATCAACGAAACATTTATTGGATAAGGCGTAGAATTTAACACATTCAAGATCATGAGAACAGATCAGTAAGACATTCAATTCACCAGTCACGTAGTTTTCTTGAGAAATTTTAAAAGCATATCACGTGCATATCTATCGCACAATTCGAAAATGGGGATGACTTCTGTCAAGGAACACAACCCTAAGTTCCTATGACTTGCAAACACGCTCCGAACCAATAATTACTATGACTTTATCGACTTTAACACCACAACACCAGCACTTTTAGAAAGTTGTATTGTTTGGCAATCAAAGTCAAGATAAGTACAAGTCTATAAAGAAATGTTTAAAACTAAATATAATGTACTTTTATTCGTATTCTTTCGTCTTCTTCCAACTAGTACACAATTGAATCATTCGCACCTTCGAGTTGCCCGCCAATGGCTACCAGTTTCAATAAACAAACTTTCAATGTTCGCGCACACTGAAAACCTCTGTAAAAAGATGATTCTAAAATCTCCTCGAATACAAGTGAATCGATTGCAGGCTTAACCATCTTCATCTGTTCTCAAATAGGCATTCAATGTGAATTTCACACTGGACGTACAACTGAACTTTCAACCATTTTCGATATAATTTCGTCTAAGATGTGCAATATCTGCGTTTGTCAACATCATACAGTTATGATAAGCCTGAAAAATCAAACCATAGACTGACTAGAAAGCTATTCGTAGTAATAGTTAAAAATAGATAAGCGAAGACATCTCTGTATCTGATCTTTTGAATTTCAGGTTTATTTCGATGTGGAATTAAAAGTAAGTGGAATATACGGCTTGAGTGTGCAGTTCCAATTGCATTGGTGTTATTTTTATTAGGCGGTTGGATTGTTAGCCTCCCACCCAACCGGCTAGGGGAGATGAAGGTGTGCGTCAAGTGGGAATGGAACCCTGGACCACGTGGATGGTTGACGAGCATTCTGTCGTCGATTCACTTACGCAAAATGAAAATCTTGCTGTTGTCTGCCTGTCAATGAAGCCTAATCAATCCTTTGATTGGACAATAAGAAGAAACTAGTCCTTGGCGTTGGTGTAAACGGAATTCTATCAAGCTCAGATAACCTTTTTATCGTATGTGTTCGAAGGTGTTATCTTAGACAGAAGTCGGAAGCTGAGGAGTCACGAAATGGGACGAATCTCATTTACAGTGCTTCCTGATTTTGATTGATCTCTGAAACAATTGTCGGTTCATAACGAAATCCGATAACTGGATTTCAAAGCTGGAAGCTAGTAATTCGTGTCACGCTGTTTTGGTGATGTGTTCCAACGGAATATGATTCTCACATATTTTTGAAGTTCACTACTGCATTAGCAATAGGATATAAAGTATATTCGAATATTCTGCTTCATGTCGTTTAATTTGCACCAAAATCACAAGCTCAGTGATTGATTGACGAATATAAACTGTAAAGAAATAAACAGCAGTTTGAATAATGAAAAATCACATACCTTAGCTTCCATCTCTTGTCTTCTGTTTTGTCAAAGCTAATGATGCAATTTACAAATGTTCTTGATTTAAAGAGATATGATAAAACCGTACGCTAGTCCAAATACTTTTAAACAGATTCATGTAACTCCATCAAGTAGATACTCACAACTGTCACGTAGTCGTTCATCTGGTTTGCAGAATTTGAGGCATAATCACTTCTCAGTGGATGACAAACTTGAAGCCATAGTCAAGTTTTTGGTTGAAAGTTGTAGCGTGATATTAGGGATAATTTACGCAAGATCACAAATATGTTACGACCTCTATTTCTGTTTCAAAATTTCAATGTGAAGTTATTCAACACTAGTGGGAAGCTGCTACCAGTAGGGTACACCAGGTTGAAGATGAGGCAGTAACTCATCTAAGAAGACATTGCGAATCGGTCGCGATATGTCGTGAATCGGGCTGGGCATTGGATTGGGTCCCAGTGGCTCAATGGTCTACGAGCTAGCTCGCCTTGTAACCAAGAGGCCCTGGTTTCAAACCGTGGTGATAGGAGTGTACTGATAAAGAGTTAAGAAGTAGGATGGGACAGCTGGCAGTCTAGTACTCACGGGTGGTTTTCCGATGGTTCTCTTATCGTAGAACATTAGCCACTGGGACACGATCCAATGGCCAGTGCATGAGTTCTTACTTCTGCTGATTCGCGTCACAGGGTGACCCGTAGCGAATGTCTTCGGCAAGTATTTGTCCTCACACCCGACTTGCTGCACCCTACTTGTTACGACTTCTCACTAGAACCCAGGTAACTACCTACCTGAATAGGGCAAGTCGCTAGTGAGCATCTCATCGATTGCTGTACAGGGCTTCCAGGTTTTTCAATGGTTCTCTAACCAATGTCAGCTCATAATGAAATGCTGTAACCAATCAAATCCCTGCAAAACAACTCTTGAATGCAATGATTATACCTAGTTGGACTTTCCAACTAACTTTGAGGTTATGATGCGTTTTTCTCCAAAACCGAATATCATTATTTTGACATTTGCATATCACATGTTGATCTGATCTTTGTTTTTATATAATCTCCAGTTTAATCTTCCTCTTAGTGGTTTTTTCTGCACTGATAATGTGTAGTTCGATGTCATTTTGTTTGAGTGAATGAATGAAGGTGATTCTGATCTTCGACTATCCACGAGAAGCGTTGATAGACTATTCTTGTGGAAAGAAGTTTCGATCTCAATTTGCTACAAATATTCTACTTCATTCTAGATACTCGTTTTGTACTTGAAATGGGCTATCTAATGTCACTGTTATAGTAGTTTTGAGTTTTGATATCATTATTGTTGAGCAGAATTGCAATTTGATGGAAGAATAGTTGTCTTGTTCCAGTCTGCAGAGCGTTTCGTTACTGCGCGTGTCTCATAGAGATTTTGATCAGCTATACGGTAGGACACAGAGACCGGTTTACCGCCCCCTGACAACAACCAGTCGACTTCGTTACCAACATAATAATAAATGCTTTTGATGTCGCTATGTTTTCTGGGCTGGGTATTTAATTTGCGAAGCTTTCATTGCCCCACTACACAACATATTCACCGCATAGTTCAATTATGAAAGTGAGCTTTCAGATTTTTCCACGATTTTATTAGTCATCTCTCTTGATGGTTGACCCTAAACGTGATTGGTTGTTTTTGTTTGTTCTCATACATTTTAGGCAACTTGTATTGGATCTAATTGTTTCTTTACCTTGAACTTTGAGCCGGTGTATATGAGGTTTCCTTCTTATCGGTAGGATAAGAAAGAAACAAATTGAAGTATGCGCTGAAGATGTTGCCTAGTAGGATAATGAAAGCTTCGCAAATTAACTGTCCAGCTCAGAGAACACAACCACATTAAAATTATCCACCTGAGTTACAAATCGTCTCAATTATATCTTATAATAGGTCTTTCATTACGGGACACAAAAGTCGTATTCATCGCCAAATAATTACACCTTTAGTAAGCATACTGCTACATCAATTGTCCATTGAAGAAGTTCGTTAATTTTTACATGCGTGAGGCGAACTTATAGCTGAATGATTCATGACACACGCACACACATTATCTTCATGAGTTCGAAATATTGTCATATGCCAGGTACACAGACATTTCTGTCATACCCTTCCACTGTCAATGTATCTGAAAATATAAACACCCCGAAAGTTGTGAATTATCCTAATGCACTAAATACGAATCTTGTTTACATTTACTGCAAATACAAATGCTACCTTTGCTGGAACCACAGAAAGTAGCTCTAACACCTGAAGACCTTAAATTTAGAAGTAAATGTAAGACAACAGACCATTTGCTTTTTCGTCAAGTTTACACATTTTTATTCTTACTGGCTGTAAAGTTCACATGCCATAAACATATTTGTTTTGTTTCTTAGCGAATGATTTCGCAGAATTTAAACAATGTGAGTACTTGAAAATTATCATAGAGGTTGCGTTACACTTTAGCTATCTGAAATTCCATGCACCAAATAATTCGCTAATAGAGAAGAGGAGATTTTAACTTTCCGTCCTTCATAATTACTGGTATGGCTCAGTGTACTTGTTGGCCAATCTTGAAGGAATATTTGGGCTACAAAGAAAAAGATTTGTTTGTGGTTAAAACTATAACAGAGACAGTCTAATGTTGAATGTTGTGAATAATTAATCGAAATTCTATTTACACCTATTTTCAGTTATTCAATCATTTTGTATAAACATTTCTGTAAATATTTGCAAATAATGGCAACCAAAAAGCCAACCTAACAAACATACTGTGCACAGAGTAGACGATTGACTGGCATCAAACAGCATACCAGCCTTCAGGTGAAACTCGAATATTATAGCTAGCTATTGAAGTGAACGGATTATTGCCAGAGTCCCATGTTCTAGTGAGGCCACAAGGTAGTGGTTATACAACAATAAGCATTCTACAGATAAATTTATGTAGGAAATGAGGTTTAGAATACATGCAACAACGTTTGGTTCTTGTTTTACCCTCGTTGTTTGTATTTATTTTGTTTAAAAATGGAGAAGTTGGAAAGTCAATGTTAAGATAGCTAACACCACTGGTTTTTACGTTTTTTTGCTTCATCAAGGTGCGAAAGACTGTCACAATCAGCGTAAGTTCTCAGAAGTGCTCTTATTTGATGCTTGTATGATTGCCGTTTGACTAATTTGACCATGACCTGTGTTTAAACTGTCTAATTATAAATAGAAATACCAATATTTCATCATAGGGAACAAATGACCACCCTAAAATGATTTCCTCCTTAAGAATTGAACAAATCCTTAACGAGTTTGTCAATTCTTCTGCGCATCCTGGAAGGTTGCAGTAGCTGTTCACTTTTAAAGACGTTCGTATATGCCACAGATTTAATGATTAGCCTTGATTTCCTACAGTATGGCATTTAACACACAAAATCGTCAAACGTTTCATAATATTTATCGTACATACTTTCATAATTGAGTTGTGATTGTATAAATGACAAAATGTCGGAAGAATATGCAATATTCACATGAATAACTTGATAAATTTAGGGCTAATTTCATCTTTTTGGGAGACTATACAGACCCTAAGCATATTCGGTTCCAGAGTCAGAACTATTCATATAGAATGCGTGACGGATGAAATGTGTTTATGCAAAACAAGCTTGCCGCAATCTGAAGTTTTAATGTAAGCACTCATTGACAAAATTCTGATGTATTCATTCGAGTAACCTTATTGATATCGACTGTTATCCAGATATATATATGGCCAAGTTCAACTTAAGGCACCACTAACTACCAATCCACGAATGACTTTGTATGGCCCAATCAATTTTATCTACATGAGTTGAAGGTTCTATTTCGCTTGATTCAAGTCAGATGTCAGGGAGGATGATCCGATGGTTCTCAAATTTTTCATAGGAACATTTTTTGCCAAGTTTCATTTGTCCTTAATCCAGATTTCATATATTTCTAATCAGTGGGTTTTGAAACAGCCTGTGACAGGTGGAACTGCTGAGAGAGAGAATAGTCTCTTATCAACAGTTCAGTGGTACCAGAACTGCAGAGAATTACTTCGTTATTGGGAGGTGAAAGTATCATCTTACACGCAGATGATTGTACGTGTCATCCCTTGGATATAGTCACTACAGCGTAAACCATTGTAATGATTGTGTCAATCCCATTACAGGGACACACATCATTTTCATAGAGGACTTTTGAGGAAGCTTTAAATTAGGGTTTGGGCCATTATTAGATCTCAAATTGATGCCAGTTATAGTTATTCAGACGAATATATGTACATAATGTCGCGAAACTTTTCAATTGATACCCGTATACTCACCTGGGAGTTGTTTACAACATTTGCCAGAGGAAGATATCCCATGAAACATTTTATGCAGTTTTAATGCATTTCCCCATGAACATATGTTTTCCATAACCAAAATAATGCCTATCTCATGTGATTGGTCCATTGAATGTCATTTACTGATTGGTACTTAGTGGTGCTTAAAGTTTATATATATATATATATATATATATATATATATATATATATATATATATTGTAATGTGGCTACCATGCTACGTTGCCTGTGTTCACGGGACACTGTGAATTATTGACATTAAATATTTGGATGTAATCAGCATGAAGCCTTGCTAGTTGGCATTCATCAGTCAGCCAATCGTATCCGCAATCTTGAGAGAACTTATGTCCCTTCTGAGATTCAAATCCGCCTCACCCAGTGAATTCTGCAGTTACAGACTTTAACACTGTGTTATTCAGTCTCTCGATAGAGCTCCTGTAGGACTGCAATATATATTTTTCACTGGACATCAGTCAGTAACTTGTGTATTGTGCGTGTTTTTGGTACTCTATTTAGTGCAGACTAAATTCTATGAGTCAGGTTTGCAATGTAGCCAGCATGCTTAGTGGCTCGCCACCACCTCGCCATCAAGGCTGTAGACACGCCTTGCTGAAGAACGCCAACTAGCGTGAAACCTAGGTTCAAGGCATCCTGTGGCTTGTTGCTTCCAACCATCAGATATCAATTTGAACTGTGTAACATGTATTTCAAAGTCTACGTCTTGTGCTGAAAAACTGAGGTAAACTGACTCACTTTCCTGAAGATAAACAGTTGCCTATGTAACCTGTCATTTGCTGATAATATGCCCTCATACGTTTACTCAGCAGAACATGTAGTGGTTTTGCTTCACCTCATGACAATCTTGATAAATGCACTGAATATCTGATTATGTTAAGCACACCTCCATTTTTTTCTCCACAGAATCGAACAACTTTATAAGAGGATTTCCGTGGGATCTAAAAGATTATCAATCACTATTCACTTCTCAAGGTTAATGAGTAACCATGTATAATGTTATCACAGTGAACATAAATGCATAAAAATAAAAATTACGCGCGTAACTAGTGGTTTTTCCTTGTGCACTGAAAACTATTTCAAGCGTAAATATGGGATTTTCAAAAATCTACCATTGGTATAATATTATAAGCACATATTTTCAAATAATGTTATTTACAATGAAGTGTTGAATAAATATTGTGATGCAGTTAGAAGACAAATGGCTTTAAATTTGAATCGTACAAATTAGAAACCCCGTAGCTAAATATCATTGCTCAACAAATTGATTTGCCTAGTAACCGTGCAAAAACGCCTCAATGAAGAAGGAGTGTAGTTCATCTGTGGATGCTTAAATCCTAAGTTTCTTCAGGCTTCGAATGGAAATTTACATCGTAGTAGAATTTTAACCAGTAATGTCAGTATTGAAATCCGATGACTTGTAGATGTTTCAAGATGAAATGAATCTTCTGCTGAAAGACGTTAGGTGGCATTTCAGGGGTGCAGGCTACATTTTCATTGAAGCATTGAATGTGTGTTCTAGTATGAATTAGCTGAATACTGTATGTGCATTTTCAGGCAAAATCATAGTTAAATAAAAGTAAATGAAGAGAATTTCGTGTATGTTATGGAAGCGATTCCAGTTTGTCAGCATAATAGTGGAAACGTATTAGTGGTAATGATCTAAGTGGTTTAATACAACGCCTAAAACTAATAATGCTAGTAGAATAAATGGTACTATGTAAATGCATAAACCAGGTTACCCCATTAGACCAATAGTAGATTTCAAAATACACCTACATGAGAATTATCAATACACTTAACTCTAGTACTGTGTCTCATTAGGAATCATTCAAACTCTAGGCTAACTAATTTATATAAAGTGAAAATGAAACAGAATGACATTGAATTGGAGAATAATGCGAAAATTGTCAGTTTTCATATAACTAGTCTTTATACAAATAAATATACTAATAATAATATGGTCCTAGAAGTAGTTAAAAGAGAGCTAACTACTCATCCCGAACCTAGTCACAAGACAAAGCAACCCACTGTGCAAATTACTTTGGCACTTCAGTTATGCCTTACATCTACTGTCTTTAAATCACAGGGCGAAATATATAAACAAACAGAAAGTGTAGCAATGCGATGGATCATCAATATCCCCTATAGTAGCAGATATCTTTATGGATAGCTGCGAATATATTACTCTTGGTACATTCACCTATTCCTACTCCAAATACATGGTGAAGATATGTGGATGACACTTTCACAGTGTTCGAAATCGAACATATCTCTAGCTTCTTCACATATATAAACTCCACAGTACAGGCAATAAAATTCATATTTGAATCGTAATATGAACAAGGCAGATTAACCACGGCGTTAGATTGTAAAATAAAACGAATAGAAGAAGGTGAGCTGTACACTAGCGTTTGTAAAGAAAACCAACGCATCACAATAGGCATTCAGAATTTAATTCATCTCGTCCGTTGTCTGTAAAGGCGGGCTTGGTTAAGTGTCTGACAAACTGAGCGAGCAATAGCACTAAGTACTACGAGAAAATACCTAAAGGATCAAATGAAACAGATGGGAGAATAGCTGGCTGTTGTTAAATAACTATCTTATAAAATTCATTAGGAAGATCAGAAAAGGTCAAAACCAAAATAAAAACAATTGTGCAAACTAGTAATGATAACATAAATAAGACAGAATATGAGGCATCTACAGTCCCACCATAAAAAGAGGGGACTTCTGAGACCCTGCTTAATAAGATGCTTAATAAAGCAGGGACTAGAGTGACATTTAATCCTACAAACATACTAAGCGACAAGGTCTGTAGGCTTAATAACCCGGTGGACTGAATCAAACGAAATAATATAATTTGCAATATACCTTGCATTACTTTGATGAGGCCAACTGTATACGTCAAACTAGTAGATTGGGTGCGGGTAGTGAGATTATCAGAACATAAGAATTTAGCTAAGGTTAGAATGATAAGTCATTTAGAAGAAAGGTCACCACCACGTAGCACTGTATGCAATAACACACAACCACACAATTCGGTGAATGGGAGCGGGTGAAAAATCTAAAAGGTAATATAAGTAGTTGGATAGGGAGGTTGATTATTGAATCTACCTACACCCAGCACGTGCACTAGGAATGACTCATCAACCCCACCGGAAATACTCGAATATACTCCTACCAATCAAATCAAGCGATGAAAAATAATGGAATTATATGAACAAAGTTAGAACGTTGTTTGAGCAGTACCTTGATATAATTATGAGCGGCAATAAATTCTGCTTGAAGCGTCATCAGTAAATACTACCGTATAACACACTGTGAGACTTTATCAAAATAAATTTTATTCGTAGTGGAATTAAAGTCTTTTATACTTCCATCCAGTCCTACCTGGTGGAATAGAAGTTTTGAGTTGTATATAAAGAGGATGCTTGGAATCCGACAAGATAATGTTCTAAAACAGTGAGTTCCCTTTATGAATTTAGACAAAACAATAGGAAGACGTAATTTGTCTGAATCGTTTAATGTATTTGCGCAACGCATTTCGAACAATCTGATCACACACGGACTTCTTACCCAAATATATTTAAATATATATTTATATATATTTGTATGCACATGAAAACAATGAAGAATTCAGAGGTAAAAAAATAAATTTAGATCAAGGTAAAATGACATATTGAAGGTCAAAATAACAATGAAGATCACTAAACCAAAGAAGAGAGGTAATACTACACCCACCCTAGCTGTTACCAAAGCAAAGTTTACCAAGGAAGGTGTTTTAGTGTGATGACAAATTGTTGCTTTGATGACATAAGGGTGGTCTTAACTTTCTGACTGCCAGTTAGGGCTTCCACAAACTCTCGGATACACTACAAACACGTAGAAGGGCCTGAGTTGAAAAGCGTGTAAATATCAGTTTTATATCCTGTGTCTATAATACGTCTTGGAATAAAGGAACTAGGTAACATCATTAATATGTTCTACGGATTCCTAATACTCCTGGATCCATTTAAGAATAAGTTCTGAAACGAGGCGTTATTTGGGATGATCGATGAGTCTTCTCTATGTATGTTTGGCCACACGTAAATTCAAATTGGTAAATACAGTGGGATGTAACATCACTTTTAGCATGTTCAGAAGGCTTAGACGGATATATTGACTTCGCATTCTCAATGATTATGATATTAGCTGCATAAAAAGTCTTTTTAACTGCAACGTTCAGTCTTTGTCTAGTTTTTAGGCTGCTATGGTCACCACTATAGGGAGGCTTGATGTATGCATCTTTCTTAGTGATGAGTTGTAGGGTGGGTTACATTATATCTCCTGATGAACTTGTCTGGATAATTATTATCAACCAGTTTGTGTCAACTTTCTTCTGTACTCAACAAGTGTGTCTTCAGTGCATATTCATTGTGTTCTCCTAAAGAGAAGCCTCACTTCCTTAGCCTCTTTTGTACCAAACAGGACAGAAACTGGGATAATTAAGATAATGTCCTGTCCAGGTAAGCATTCTCTGGATAGAACGCTTTATTGACTCATCAAGCCGTCAACTAAGCAATATATCCAGGAAAGACAAAACGTTACATTCATGTTCTATAGACGTAGTTAGTATGCTATTCTGATTGAAACCTTGGAGCGGGGTGAAAATGTTGGCAGAAAACCGAAGGCAGTAAAGACGCTCAGCTGAAGCCCTATGTTCCTCTAGGAGTTAAAGGATATAATAATAATAAGAAGAAGAAAATAAATACCGTATACACCAAATAGAGTATTACTGTATTAGGTGTGTTAAACTACAGTAGCAAACATCTGTCATATGTAGGTAGTAATAAAAGTATGAACTCACAGCACTTACTACTACTGAGTAGTATAGAGATGAACACAAAGAAAGAATAACAAAGGACAAGTAGGAAAGGAATTCACAGTAGGAATCCACAGTATAGGAAGAATTTCATAATCCGTGATTTAAAACTAAAATCACATCAAGTTTATCAGTTAATTCCTTTAACTGTGTTTCTAAATGACTTTGTAGCAGATATAATTATTTAGGCAAGGAATGTTTGCCAATCAAGTGTCTATGCATAGGTAAAGTAACAGGTTGAGGATGCATTTAGTTAAACGAGTTTATACAAAATGTTTGCCAGCGTTAATTTTAATCTCCATGAATGAAATTCTACCATCTACAAGTGTAATACATTCAAATGTATCTAACAGAGTAAACGGGTATTTTCGTGTAAGAAAAAAAATGCCAGCTTACTACTACTGTCCTCTTGAATTTCACATTTAGGTTAGAACAAAATATTTATGGCGAACAATTGTGGTTTCGATAAATTCTTCTTCAGGCTCTACAATTATAAATCCCTTAATTTAAGCATACAACAGCCAGTATAAGGTCAGTACACCTATTTCCATAGTTTCACACCGATTCAGCATAAAAGAAACTTAGTTAAGTGTCTTAGCTACAGAATAAAACGAATATGCTCAGAGGAATGCATGAAGGAAGAAATGCATAAACTAAAACTCACACTGCAAGAAAATGGATATCCACAGAGCTTCCTAAAAAAGTATATGTCGATACCTATAGACTGGGTAAAGGTGGATACCGTAGACAAGAAACATTTGAATCTTAAGTTACATAGGGGAAATTGCAGCTGACATTATAAAGTGTCGACTCAATAGAGCTATAGATAGAACATTTCCTGCAGCTAAATTGGTACTAAACTTCCCAACTAAACCAGTACTCACACAGGAAGTAAAGGATAAATTACCAAAGATGGCCTCATCAATGTGCATCTGCGAATTCAACTGCTCATGTGGAGCCAGTGTAACAACAGAAGACAAGGGCCAGGCAACAGATCGTTTTATTATGAAAATCAACACGTATTTATACATATTTCACATACATTATTATAGACAAGCGCAGTCATCTGATTGGTTGTTTATCAGAAGTTAGGCAGACAAACGCAGGCTTCTGATTGGTTGTTTCGGGATTCCTTGACAAATAGAGTTCTCTATCTGCGAATCATATTTTGCCACGTTAACTTTGCTGTGATTGGTTGTTGACTCAGCCTTGTTCATATTTTCTCACGGCCCATATTAACGTAGCTTAGTGTCAACCAATCGGCTAGCAGCCTGCTCTCACCACACTCGTCCCCCCGTCAAATACGTGCGACTGAAGTCGGCTTGATCTACTTGGTGCAGGCGTCATCGTTGGCTTGTCTCGCTGTATCCATTTCTGGAGCTCGCTGACGTTCACGCGCCTCTTATTGTTCGCCATTGCGACTGTGTCTGCGTAACCCCATCTCGAAGTGACCATATATGGTCCTTCCCACTTTGGAAACTGTTTGCCTGACCCTGTCGAACATTCGTCCATACTTCGGCTCACACTTTCATATGCTGCTTTCACCCGACCTCCCAGCAGCGTCCCAAGTAGCAGCTCCATCGCTGACAGATCTTGAACGCCACTCAACTGCGCAGAAGCCTTGAAGTCCTGCCCGAAGATCCATATGTCTCCATCAAAAACAGCAGGGCATAGGCTTTCCATTTGTCGGTAGGCAGCGACACCAAATGTAACAACAGAAGACAAGGGCCAGGCAACAGATCGTTTTATTATGAAAATCAACACGTATTTATACATATTTCACATACATTATTATAGACAAGCGCAGTCATCTGATTGGTTGTTTATCAGAAGTTAGGCAGACAAACGCAGGCTTCTGATTGGTTGTTTCGGGATTCCTTGACAAATAGAGTTCTCTATCTGCGAATCATATTTTGCCACGTTAACTTTGCTGTGATTGGTTGTTGACTCAGCCTTGTTCATATTTTCTCACGGCCCATATTAACGTAGCTTAGTGTCAACCAATCGGCTAGCAGCCTGCTCTCACCACACCAGTTACATTGCCCGTACTCAGAGGGCTTTATCCATGCGCGCACGTGAACATGTACCTGTATGGTTGAGTAAAGGAGTAACCAAATGCATAAATAGTGCAACCTTAGCCCACTTGGTAGATACTGGACACCCAATAAAACTTGACCAAGTGTTTTCAGTTATTTACTGCGTTCCTAGTAATTTATCCAGAGGAGCTCGACTATGTCTTCCATCAGTAGATGAAGCAGTTGCGATTAATACCAGAAGACCATCCCTCTGCATACAGAAGAAGTATGTTCAACCTCTATGTTTACTTTGGCCTACAATAAAGCCAACAAATCCTCCATTAACACTATAAATTTTCTTTTCACAATTTTCTTTTCTTTTCCTTCTTCTATTCCTCTGTTTCATTAACAAACGTTCATTTTCGACTTTTATGATTTCATGACCTTTCTTATGATTTTATTACCTTAGGTTTAAATAGTGCTTTTCTAACTTGCTATCGGATTTACAAAATCCTGTTCATTCCACTTCATTATATTCATTATTATTATTTGACAATCATTCACCAATAGTACATTTAATTTTAATTTTACACCATATCATCGTTATTATTTTACAATCATTCTTATTGTTGTTATTTTCAACCTTGAACTTATGTCTAGACCACCCCATTCGTTGGTTTATTTTCATTTTTTCTCAAACCCTGATTACACTCACTCTCTAAACCTGTATTTTCTGTCAACTATATTTATATATACACACACATCATTAAATTGAATTATTTCCTCTCATTTTACCCCTTGTTATCATTTTTTTTTGATATAATAATGGTAAAGCTTTATTTAAGACAGTATGCGAGTATACGGTACAAAAATTTTCAGCGTATTCAGTTCCAAAGTACTTTTTTCTTCACACAGGATTCACATGTAAAGTAATAATCTGAAGTATATCTACATTTGATGAATTGTACAGCGTTTACTTGGGAGCAAGTTAAATCATCGCGCAAGTTCATGTATAGGTCATTTGATATAACTGCAAGATTAAAACAACGATAAATCCAGATGAAATTAAGCATTTTGGAGGAAAGTAATTTCGGTAGCCCAATGATTTAAGCAGGCCGCCGATGTTGACGATGCATATTAAAAAAAAACAATATGACTATATGACTATTGTTTCATCCCATCTTATACTTGTTCAACAATGCACTTTCTGATATGATTCTAATTTGCCTTAACTGGCTATTGTATGCCTGAATTAATGGATTTATAATTGTAAAGCATGAAGAAGAATTTATTGAAACCACAACTGTTCGCCTTAACTAATTGGTTCTGAAACAATTATGGAAATATTCAATTTACATTTAGTTTATTCAATAGTTTTGAGTAATGTCACTCTATGTCGGAGGAAGTAATGGCTGAGTTTTAATTCGTCTCACTTGATGTAGAACTCTTTCTTTAACGCTGCAGAGCTTGACAACGCTCAAAAAAGGTAACTTTAGCGACTTTTAACTACAACAACTTATCATGAGATGATTTACAGTTTCCTTCTGGGTCATTCAGATAAAATACTATTCCCTTTGCACCTAACCACTACAATTCCTAGTATAGTTTTTGGCAACGAGGGGATAAAAACAAATTTTGACAACTGTGTTAGTATACCGAAAATATTCATTCAGAAATTTAGAAAAAAGCAAAGAATTCAAGCATCGAATAATCCTTTCGATGATTTCATCTTCTGCCTCAAAAATTATACATTTATATACATATGTATGTTAATATACACATAATGTTCTTGGATAAATGTCATAACACATATTGGTGCTTTTAAATACTATCGATTTGTTAAGTAAGATCATGATGGGAGGGATTTGAAAGAGGTTACTTCATTCATTTATCTAGGGAGCATTGTCTCAACTGTAGAAAGTCGGAACGGACGAGGATGGCGAATTGAGCGAGAATCAGGAAGGCGAGAAACGCATTCATCAACTTGAAAACAATCCGGAAATCTTCGTCACTCAGCATCAGCAACAACATAAATTCAGTTCTCTTATACGGATCAGAAACTTGGCGGGTCACAAAGAATATTTCCAACAGCCGCTTGGTTGGTGAATAGCGTTAATAATGACAGGTGTCGTCAGCTGACGACTAGCATGCGTTCAAGGTCATTGGAGCGTTCGCACTCCTGGGACGCTATTGTTGAACTTTGTCGTGGTTAGGACTCTCGCCGGCCATGTTCCGGGTCCGAAGTCCGATTCCCTGCCGACACACACACCTGATATCCGTGTTTGGCCTGCAAAATTTCGGTTATCGATATCACATACTGAAAATTCTATACATGTATAAAAAAATGCAGTGTGGAATAAAGCTGTAACCAAAAAACTTAAAACTTAAGCGTCTTTCTTGAACTGTAATTCCATTGTGATCTCCATAAATCGATAGTATTTAAAAACACCAATATTGTTAATGACGACTATATATATATATATATATATATATATATATATATATATATATATATATATATATATATATATATATGTAGAACCAGAAAATGAAATCCTAATGGGTGCATACTGCCGATGATTCCCAGACTAGGGTGAAACAGCAGCTGTCAATGGTTCTCTAACTGATATTAATCCGTGATCAGCTCGTAAACAGTATCTGTTCTTTTAGGCGTCGGCAGAGATTTTTTAATGCTACTTTCAACACAGTAGATTAAATATTAATATATATTTCTTAACCCTAATTTGCTTAAAGGAAATGCAGATCAGCATCCTGTATCTTTTTCCTTGATATTAAATAGTAAACCTACCAGGATCATAACCTCAGGGTTTCAAGTTGATGATTTCATGTGGGTGAATGGCCAAAGACCTTCAGATAACAACGAATCAGTTGCCTAGAACCAGAGGATTGTTAGTCAGCCTTTAAGATTTCGGATACGTCTTATTCGTAAAGTGTGTCACAAGCAACAATATTTTCGATACAGACATTTCGAAATATGTCAAACGAAATTCCAATGAATAAAAAGGACAATGTCAACAATGTTGTTCTTATAGGTTCCAAGTGGAATATATAGGGCTAAGAAAGCACGCTTTCATTTCACACTGTTATCTGCAGCCGTCTTCAACTGGCTACATGATTATCCATTGCGCTGTCCTCACTTACAGGATCGTCACGATTTTACTGGCAGACTGAAATAACTTGACTTTACTTATTCGGGTTCCACACAGGAGACTAGGGAGAGATTTGATCCTGCGGTTCTCTTAGCGTCCGTCCAGTGCTTTTCAATTTCCTTTGGGACATTTTCGGAGTTTATTGCCTCAAAGGATTCCCTCCATCTCCCCATCTGTTATGTAATACGCAGCGAAACCAGCTATTGGTGAAGGCTTGAATTCCTCTACAAATGGATTCGATGACGCACGAGTCACGTTTGTGGAACATATATGAGATTTGACTCGTCATTGGTGTCCAAAATACCAATCTTGTTCAGTTGACACATTTACAGAACCGTTGGAAAAACAATACGAAGTACTGGGCAGTAACTTTTTGCTCAGTATATTATTGAAATAATGCATTTCTTCCAGATGAATGTACACTGTCTAGCCATATGAACACTTAGAACGTTTTGCTTATAATTCGGATGTTGGTGAATGGTACGAAGCTAGAAAAACGCGCTTTTCGTTTAAACAGCAGTACAACTGATGGATATATATATATATATATAAGCAAATTCAAGTATTGGTTTATAGGGATTTCATTTGATTGAATGGAGAATGTCGTCATGAGTTGATATCAGTTAGAGAGCCACCTAGGAGTACTGGACAACCAGCTGCTTCGTCCTGTCTCACAACTCTTCATCAGTACGCACTTGTTGCCAGTGTTCGGACCCAAGACATTCTCGTAACAACGCCAGCTAGCTTGTAGACCATTAATCCACTGGGACCGAATCCAATATTTAGCCCATGAATTCCAACTTCTGCCAATTCATGACATAACGTGTCTAGCCACTAGCCAATGTCTTCAGCAAGTATTTTTTCCTCACACCTTACCTGCTCCACCCCACTGGTCACGACTACCCGCTATAATATAGGTTAACAACCTACCTTAATGGGACCAGTCGCTAGTGTACAATTCCTTGTATATATTCACAGATGAACTGTTGTTCCTCCTCTAACTTACTATGTGAATAAAAAGGTAAACGTTTTTGTAAGCGTGTTTAGACACGCAGAAACTCTGCTCAATAGAAATATATAGCTGACATAATCAGTGTAATTAATGTTGCTTTCTTATTTTACACTTAAAAATTAACGTGTTCCTTCCAATTTTACTGAGGTAGTGAAACTTCTGTCAAGATGGCAGTTAATTATATAAACGTTTAATGTTTTAACTGGTACACGAGAATATTTATTGATTTTCCTTGTCTTTTAATGAATCTCATTCATTAGTAATAATTAGTAATTCAACCTAATCAAAAGGAGAACAATACTTAGTGATGTAATTTAGCAAATGGTGACAAGTATTGTAGTTGGCAAAAGCGTTTATTGAATTATTATTTCAATATATACATCACTTATTGAACTGGTTACATTGTACATCCTAATTGTAGAATTCACGCTTTTTTCAATGCAGTTTTTATAGGCTTTCATGTTTTAAGGCATTAGAAGACGAATTAGCTAGACACCGGTTGTTTTTTTTATCAAGCAACTGACGTCTACTGAAGTATATAAATAGGATGGTTTTTTCTATTCCTTTAACTAAATGTTGATACATTCAGCAGCCTTGGTGTTTTTGGTGTTCGTTTTACACTCACAGTTAAACAGTAAGTGTACGAATGAGTATAATAAGGAGTAACATTTGATGGTTTTATGTTTTTTCATGCAAAAAGCTCTCCTTTATAAATTTCGGCAGAGAAAAAGAATGAACATTGGTACAGAATAACCAGGATCCTTGTTCATTTTGTTAGTTCTCGTCATCAGCTAGCTGCGTAGGAACCTATAAATCTTTAATGAATTAAATTC